CATTTCCACAAAAGTCCACGCGGTGGTATTACTGGAATAAGCAGCAAATTAAAATTCGGGCAGCACCCTACACATCTCAGGCTTACTCATCAAAGGAGAATGAATGTCTCACAGTAGAACTTTCCCGACGCTCCACCTGCCCCGGCCTACCTCACGAGACGGCCAAACTAACCTGACTCTGCCAAAGTGCAACTTCCCCGGCGTTCCCAGTTCCGTCACCGTGAGAAGCTGAACCCCAGCAGACCCCGCCGGGGACTCCGTGCTCCCGAGCTCAGCCTCGCGGGGCCGAGCGCTCACACCGGGGCAGGAGAGGACCCCGAAGGCTGCTGCACTCCCCTGAGGCCCCCAGAGCCCACCACCCGCCTGCCTCCCAGGGGCACAGCCTGGCACCCGGGGGCCCAGGCCAGGGTGCCGGCAACTCCTTGCTGGGTTCCTGATCCCAGAAGACAGGGCCCAGGCCCAGCTGGTGGCTCCCGGGCAGGAGGGCAGGGCCCGGACTATCCCAGGCTGACGGGCCGTCAAGCCCCCCAGAGAGCCTGGAGGTCGCTGCACCTGCGGAGACACAGCCTGTCCCTGGGTCTGCAAACGAGGGCCGCACAGACCCCGGGCCGGAGGTGGGTGCTGGCAGCAGAGCTCAGCCGCGCAGGGACAGCCCTCTCGGCACCCAGACTCTGCAGCGAGGAGCAAACGTCGGTGCCTGGCAGCAGCCCCAGGGCCAAGGCTTCAGGAGCCCGAGGAGGTCACACTAGGCCCCTTGGACGGGATTCTCACTAGGGGGCTCCCGCTGGAAACTACACTCAAGAAACCCCGAGAAACACGCCCGTGTGCTGGCGTGGACGACACGACGAGGCCCTGCCCTCAGGAGCCGGGAGCCGGCCAGGAAGGGCCCCCGGTCTCAGCACCCGTGCCCCGTGGGCCTGAGCCCCATCACGTCCCGCTCGGCCCTCGGGTGCAGCCTGGGCACTGAGGCTCCACTGCTCGCGGGGCATCTGCTGCCTGGAGACCTAACGAGGGTCCATCGTGGCCGTGGCCAGGGCGCCCGGAATCCCGCCTGCACAGCGCCCGCGGCCCCGAGGAGTGCCAGGCGGACACGGCCCCTGCGTACTTACAAGGTCCAAAACCGAAGCGCTGCGTTTCCCTCCCCAGAGGCTGCACAGGGACACGAGCCCGTCACGGGCCCTCGGGCGGCCCTCGGCAGGGGAACGCAGGCCGCGCCAAGTAACCGCCAAGCCGGGAGGGAGCAAACGGCGGAGCCGCCGGGCAAGGCCCGCGCTGCTGGACGAGGGGTGGGATGGGGACAGGGTGACCCGGCTGCCCAGGGCGCAGAGGGCAGGCGAGCACACTCCCCGCTCGAGCAGGGGCCAAGGTCTGACACCACAGGGGAACTGAGGCCCGTCAGCCCTGGTACCGCCCCACCCCCGCTCAGAACCCGGAGGTCCGGGGCCCGCCCGCCACCCCACTGAAGTCCCAGGCCACTGGGTCCCCAAGCCGACCCCGTGCACCTCACGGGGAGGCGCCTCCTCGGCCTGCACAGCCTGCCCCTGCCCGCTCTGTCCTGCTCTGCGCCCTCCAGGCCGGGCCACGTCAGCCATGTGGCTCTTCCTCTCCGCGCCGACCCTGCAAACCGGCCTCGTGGCCGCGCGCACAGCCGCCACGGTGATGAACCGCACGCACGCAGGTCGGGGGCCCAGCACGGGGCAGCACAGGTGGGGGGCACCTGCTGGGCCAGCTGCCGGGCCCGTGCTCTTTCCCCAAGATTCAACCTTGGTCAGAAACCTAGTCATGGGGTTCCTGGGCAGCGAGGAGACCAAACACACATGATAACGGCCGGGGGAATCCCGCCAGCGACGGCAGAGAGCGCCTTCCCTTATCAGGTGGAAACGGCAGGGTCAAGGAGGACGGGGTAGGCCGGGGGAGGGGTGGGGGGGTGAACGGGACACCTAGGAGGCTGGAGGCCCCGCCTCAGCACAAGAGAGGCAACCCGGACACCCCCCCTCCCCCCCAGCCACACGCAGAGTCCCTGCGAGACTCGCAGTAACGCGGGGGGGGGGGGGAGGAGCACGAGGGGGCCGCCAAAGCAGCAGATCCCTGGAGCACCCCCCCCCCCCAGCAGGGACAGTAGCTGCGTCCCGGGAGGTGCGAGACATGAAGGAGACGCTGTGTGCGGGGGCGGAGATGCCCCACCTGCCCCAACGGTTGTTAAAACCCTCAGAGACACAAGCCACTGCGACAACGTTCAAGGGTAAGACACTCCGGAGGCAGCGCTAGAACACTCTTAGAAACCGAAAAGTGTGGCAGCAGAGAAGCAGCACCTACCGGACGGCCAGCAGAGAACACTCCGGAAACAGAAAAAGAGGGTCAGGAGGAGGGTCGGGAGTCACCGCCTGCATAAAATTCTACAAGAGGACACACTCGGCTCTGAGGGAAGAAACCCCGCCACACCAGCGGTGCTCCGGACACGACAGCGGACATGCCACCGACCATCTGCGTATAGTTCTTCTCCGAAAGGGAGGAACTGCACTCGGCAGAGGGGATGTGGGGGATTCCAAGATGTGGGGCCCTGGAACCAGCCACCCCGGACCGAGGCCTCCCTGGGAGCCCTCCGTGATGAGCAGATACAGCAACAATTCATCGCAGAATCCACGTGTCGGGTTCGCATCACTCACGTGTGCGTCTGACACCACTCGTGCCAGGGCGCCCCGGTGCCTCAGCCGGCTCAACGTCTGACTCTTGGTTCCGGTTCAGGTCACGATGTCAAGGTCGTGGGATCGAGCCCCCCGCTCTCCTCCCCCCTCGCCCCAACACCGCCCGCTCACGTGCACTCTCCCTCTAAAAATCATTCATATTAAAATGTTGGAGGGAAAGAACCAGGACCTCAGAGTGGGGCAGGCACTCGTGAGCCGCAACACGGACAGCTACACGCGGAGCAAAGCACCTTGAAAACCGAGGGTGAAGGCTCTGACCCAGGACTCTATACCCAGCCAGACACAACAGAGACGCCATCACCACCACCCCCCCATCTCTGCAAATCCGCCTCTCCTGCACGCTTTCCCAGGAGCCGACACACGGGTGTGCTCCGTGTCAACGTAAAGGGTCACTGCAAGAGGGAAGATGAGACCCAGGAAGCAGGCTCTCGATACAGGAGAGAGGAAAGGCGACCCCAGGATGATGGGGAGGCAAGCCCGGGGGCAGAGGACACAGAGGGCACAGGAGAAGTCAGCAGACAGCACCCAAACTGGCTGGGGGAAGTGGGTGGAGGGGACGAGGTAGCAACAGGAATGTTATTTGGAATCAAGGACGTAAACACCAAAACACTCAGCTAAGAACAAGTCCCGATGCTGCAGAGACGGAGGGCGGGGGGCGGGGGGCAGTGGTCCGAGTGTCCCACGGAGACCTGGGGCCTGTGCCGTCCCCTCCAGTCTGGGCAGGTCAAGCAGGACACAAGAGGTGCCTCACCAACCGCACTGTGGGGGGCCCGGGATGCGACACCACATGGAGGAGGACTCAGCGTCCCCTCCAGGGCACAAGGCGGATGGCACTACGGAGGACGCTCCAGGCCAGCTCCATACCAAAGGGCCCCACCGACGCAGCACGTGCCCACGGAGGCGGCCCACACTCCAGACCCACACGGAGTCCGGAGAGGAACTAAAGGTCCTTTAAGCCACCACGGTTTGGGGTGCTCGTTACCCAGCCACAGGTAAGAGGGACAGCAATGAACTAGAGTGTTTTGTGATGAAACTTAGAGAAGCATTTTTTCACCCTTTAAGTTATACAAACACCTAATTTAAACAAAAGTTAAGGGGATCCCTGGGTGGCACAGCGGTTTAGCGCCTGCCTTTGGCCCAGGGCGCGATCCTGGAGACCCAGGATCAAATCCCACGTCGGGCTCCCGGTGCGTGGAGCCTGCTTCTCCCTCTGCCTGTGTCTCTGCCTCTCTCTCTCTCTCTCTCTCTCTCTCTCTCTGTCTCTGTCTCTCTGTTTGTGTGACTATCATAAATAAAAATAAAAAAAAGAAACTATAAACAAAAGTTAACTAAAAAGTTTTTTTTAAGAATATAAAGATAAAACAAAGTGAAATCTTAAGCCTTGAATTAAAATTAAAAACCCACAGCATCTGGTCTGGCAAGCCTGACCCTGCACCACCGTGCCAGATGCGCCACGCGTGACGGGGCCGCTGAACCCAGCTGCCACCGCCTCTTTTCCCTGTCCCCAAACCCACATCTCATTCCAGCCTCACTAGCAGCCACGGGTTGAACAGCAAGCAGTTTAAGCGGGGAGGGAGATAAACCCGCTCAAAGATTCGGCGTCTCGGTTATTCGTAAGAACAGGGCAGCGAGAGGCACACGGCCACCTCCCGGCAGCGGCGCAGCAGCCCTGCGGCGAGCTGGGTGCTCTGTGACGGCCCCGACGTGCGCCGGCAGGCCCCTGCAGCCGGGTGGCTGAGGTCCCCCCACCCCCCCACCCCCACCCCCGCGAGGGGGACGCAGGCAGATTCCCAGGCACAGGGCGATGAGGGAAAAGCAACAAAAGGCTGGCGCAGACCCTCCAGGGCAAGGCCACCGTGGAGCGTGGCCTCCGAGGAGCCACTCTCGGGTGTGCCGCCGCCACACACACTGGAGCTTCTGAAGATCTCACGCGCGGTGTCTGTGTGACAACAGCCAGCACTGTGGCATCCCACCCACACCCGTCCCTCTCTCCCCTACCCGCAGGATGGCGGGGGCAGCCCCCGCAGTCACTCTCAGACCCGCGCAGGGCGCTTCCCCGTGAAGCACACAAGCGGTGCCTGGGGGCGCCTGGCTCGCGGCCCGCGGGTGGCTGGCGACGCTGCTGCTAAGCAGCTCGGTGGGTGCAAACACATGAATCGTAGCTGCGGGCGGGAGGAATATCAGGTGCATCTCTACGCCCCGAGGGCTCAACTCCTACACTTAAACCCCTCCCACTGGAACAGCCGGCTCCAGTTTCAGCCGGCGAGCGAGCGTGAGAACAGGTCCTGCTCTCGGGCCAGCCCCGGCTCCCGACCAGCCGCTCCCAGCACTGCCCGGCACTGCCCGTCTCCGGTGAGTACTCCTTCTCGGATTCAAGTTCTCTTTCAAAACTGCTCTCCGATGTATCTCGAATTAGCTATGTGGCTCAGGGAACCACCTGCCCGGGATCTGCTCTGCCTTGCTCTGTCCTCTGAAGATTACTCAGGACCCAGCAGGTGCACTGCTGGAAAGGGAAACCATTAGCACAGAACTTGAATAAGGCTGACGCTTTATTCTAAGAGTACGAACAAGTTTATTCGGAAATTAAGTCCTCATTTCTACAGAAAATCTAAACTAAAACTCAAATGTATCTAAGTGCTTCTCTGCTCCTTAAAGCTCTAGAAAATTTCAACATAAAGTCACGTATATGTAGAGACACATGTAAACACCTATGTAGGTGTGTTTAGACAATTGCTGAATTTACGGTTAAACTTCTTGGAGTTTAAAATGAGTACTGTCTTGACACGTGCTTACCAAGACAAAAAGAACAAAACCAAAGAGGATTCTGAAATATACAAAAAGGGTTTTTTTTCCCCTTACAAAAGTCTTTGTAAATCTGTTATGACAATTATTGGCCAACCAGCCAAGTCTGACCAAAGTCAGACTTCATTTAAGCAAACTCTGTCTACATTTATTATCTTTATTTTGCATTAACTGAGTCCTCCCAAAGCCTCGAACTGGTATTATTCGGGTGAAGGAGGCAGGCAGGGCGCCGCGGGGCACTGGCCCCGCTGGGTGACAGGCTGTGCACACTTACTAGGAAGAGCGTGGGTCTGTAACCTGGGATCTCTGGCTGAAACTAGAAAGAGCCCTGGTTTTATTCCCACATCCATTCTTCCAAACTACATTCTAGAAAACTGTCTTTCTCCCGAGGTCATGGTTGTCCTGAAGTTTATCCTTCGCTATGAAGAACCAAGAGTCAGGGAGGGAGTGGCGGTTAATCACTGGAAAAGCTCAATTGGAGTAAAACTCACAAATCTCGTTCTTGCGACACCCCAGTGGGTAGGCGACAATGGCGTGTCCTTGGGTTATGCAATAACGCCACATCACAATATTGTAATTATAGCATGCCCTTCAAAACGCTCTACCTGACGAGGCTCCCTGCCAGGCAGCCGGACAGCACCGAAGGGACCATTACGGCATTAGTTCAGTTCACAGGGCAACACGCATGACAAGCGTACTCGGCCAGCCCGTCCCAGCAGTGTCCTATAAACCTAAGCTGTAATTACCTCTATTGTGTCCTATCAAAGTTCAAAAAAAAAAAAAGATCTTTTTCTCTTGGCTGTTTTTTGGATTTCAAACTCCTTAGAAACTTTTTAAACATGCCAGCCACTCGCTTTATCCTAACAACTGGCAAGTGCATTAACTGTCCACACTTAGGAACCTATCGAAAGCGCACTGGCAATCTAGAACTTCAAAAACAAGCAAACAAAACCCTGTGGCCAACCGAAACCACAGGCTGCTCAAAGTGCTGTGTGGGCAGTTATGCCCAGACGCCGCGGGCCTATGAGCAGGAGCCCCGCAGCAGAGATGCGGCGGCCGCAGCTGGCTCACGGCGCTTTCCAAGGCAAAAAAGCACATCAGTTCAACCCCGGCAGATGTTTAAAATGCCTGATGTCACAAATGGGCATCTTTGGGTAAAACAGGACAACCTCTGGAAGCTCGCACGGGCCCCGTGTGTGTGGCTTTAGGTCACCACTCCCGCGGTCTCTCCCCCTCAGACGGCCACTCAGTCTGACAAGACTCCACGAGGGAGGCCACAGAGGCAGGCAGAGCGCAGAGCTGACCCCGCATTTCAGTGACAGCCACCCTGACCCCACCCTGAGGGAGGGAGGGAAGGTGCCTGAAGGGCAGCTCCCAGCACGTCCCGCAGATCAAGAGTAAACATGCGGCCCTCTGTTTAGGGCCACACTGACACCTGGACTTTAAGACGTGCTAACCCTGCAGTTCTCTAACAGAAGCCAAATTAAAGGGGTCCTGCGTCATGAGCAGCTCTCCAGATGCAGATCAACGAGAAAGACCCGCACCCCCAGGAACAGGCCATGTGAACCGCCTCCGGCCACCCTTAGAAAAGCCTCACCTCCCAATGCAAATCCAAACTTACTACCATTAGTTCTCCACTGTGTTGTTTTGGCAACAATACCCTTTTTTCAGAATATTTAACACCCGCAGCTGCCAGCCAGCATCAAGTCCAGCAGATACAAGCTGGCCTGGCAGAGACGGTCGCACACCGCGTCCCTGCAGAGGGCGAGCCTGACGAGGTCCTGGGCAGTCAGGCTGAGTTCCCTCATCCTCGTAAACGTCCCTGGGGCAGGAGAACTCACTGACATCACCCTATGGGCTGTCCCCTTCGAGCGCTTACAATAGCCTCAGTTTTGTCCCACCTATTTCTCTGATATTGCATTTTTACGACCAAGTGAATACGCCCGTCTCCATCGGCATCTGAAGCAGCTGTGCTCCCTTGTTTTAATTAGTGAATTGTGCAACCTGAGAGGTCAGTTTACCCAAAGTTACTAACACTACTGCACCTGTGAGTCCATCGCAGGCTTCCCTTCCCACAGGTCAGCGCCCTGGACGCTCTCACCCCCTAGGGCGCTGGCACGATCCCCAGAGAAGCGATTTACTGTCCTGTATGCTAACCGAACAAAGAACAAAAATTCAGACAGGAACTTTACACATGACATCATTAGACTGAAAAAAGTATATATTAACATAAAACCAATTAGCGCCCCAGTTTTTCGTCCAGGTAACACTAAGGTAACTTAAGTATATAAACTACCTCCTACAGATGTTCGATCAATATAATAATAGGTTTATCTCCACGTTTGCCTAAAAGTATCAGCGGTGCTAAATAATACTGCTCCTGAAACCAACGCATCGTCGTAGAACGCATCTGAATCATTCTCTTAAATCCTGAGAGAACTTTTCATTCATCCACCGCCTGGGGTTTGGGATGCTGGCGGCGCTGCATCTGTGTCCACTCTCGGTGCTATACTCTGGGCTCACACTTGATAAAGTTTTGCAACTGTCATCATTTTGATCATGATGCTTCTAGCTAGTGATGAAATCACTTTTCGGATCTTTGCCATAACATATCCTATACAATCATGGGAACCTGACTTGCAGAGGTTCTCACGCCTTCAGAACCAGGGAGCATGGTGAGACGTGCCGGTACACGCCCGCTGACTTATCTAGCTGGCCCAGGTTGGCTGGAATCGCTTCCTGACAGGCGGCAAGGAAATTGTGCTTTTATAGCCCAGAGCATACCTACCCCCCCGAGGTATGGGCTGAACTCATAAAGAGTTATTTCACGTTTTTCCCTCTAATAAGAGGGGAAGTTTAGAAAGACGCAGAGCTCTGCTTACCGGTGTAACAAGCTGGGCTCTGACACTGCCTTGCAGCTCCTGCAGCTGTGTAGCGGGAGGGCAGGAACAGGCAAGGTGAGTCAATGTGCACCCCCCGCCCCGGGCTCTGGGGACAACCCCCCCCCCACCCCCTGCCGGTCACAGGGCAGCCAAAAGTCCCGTTTCTCACCCAAAATACATGCCTCACCACTACTGCTCTGCAGAAACTCAACAGAAGGGCCACAGACATGGGCAGAAAGTACTTCCCAGTACTTCTCAATAAGCAGGCATCTCTAGAAGCAAGGGACGATGACGAAGCCGGTTAACAGGGGCAGTCCATCTGGGGGTGGGGGGAGCGCTTCTTTATGTTTTTAAGGAATATGAATAAATGAGTAGAGAAACCAGTTTGCTAAGAATAAAATCAGAAAGCTCTCTCAGAAATCTAAGGCATCCCAGTGAACACCCACACCCCACCTGCTTCCCCGCCCCCCCCCCACACCACCGATGACCTCATCGCAGTGTGTGGGATCGCAAGGAAGGCATTTCAGAGAAACGTTTTATTTTGTAAAAACAAGTCTCTTCAATTTCCCATACGTTTTTCACCATTTTTAAAAGGCTGCTTTCCAGCTGAGAGTTTTAGCACCCCGATGTCTAGAAGGCGATGCTTTATCCACGAAGGCTCGGGAGACACAGGACTGACCTCATTTGCCTATTCCTTAAAGCAAACTACAACTGAAAACAGTCTTGTTAAATCGTTTCCTCTTAACTTTATTCTTCAGCTGTCTGAAAACCGCCGCCTCCGAAGCTCCGGGCCCGACTCCGCCCGCTGCCCTCCAGCCTCCCCACCCACACGCTTGCTCCTCCACACAGTCACTCCATGGGCTGGTCCGGGGCACCCAGCCGCGCAACCAGGGCCTTGAGAGATCCTCCCAGACCTCACGTCTTTGTTCTCGGTTTCGGGTTATGAGGCAGAGAGAGTGCCCCAGGGGTGTGCGGAGCAGCCTTGAAGGAAACCAGGCTGAGATCTCCGGTTAAGCCTGGGAGGGGGCAGGGATCCGGGACAGGAGGGCCCTGCGGGAAGGGATCGAAGGCCAGAGACACCTGCAGCCTCTGCGGGGTCCCAGGGCCCTGGGGGAGGTGACGGGCCCCACTGGCCCCCACATCCCTGCCTGCCACTTGGCCAAGGACGGCCCGGGGCCCACTTCCTAAGGGGTAAAGAAAGGCTGGGATGGTGGCCTAGCACGGTCCAACCATCCGTCCAACAGGCACCACCACTTGGGAGGGAAGGCCAGGAAGGGCAGGCAGGGGCCCTGGGCCGGACTAGCTCTCAGCTGTCCACACCCACCTGTGTGTGCCGGCCGGGCGGGCACGGGCTGAGCGTAAGAACCACGAGGTGGGCAGCGGAAACACGGCCGTGAAGGAGAAGGTTCGGTCCCTCACAGGGCTAAGAAACTCACCTTGATAGCATCTCAAAACCACCTGAGTCAACATAAACACAGCACTTACGTTTGTATCTGAGACAGCATAAATGCTACTCACCGATAGAGCTGACTTTTTCTTTTGACTTTGGAAGCGGTAGGGTGGGACTGCGTATTTAAATATTCTCTTCTAAGCGCCCACGCGTAGAACACAGCATGACTAAACAGGACAGGATGGTCAAGGAGCCCTGGCGACGTGTCACACGCAGACCTTCCCGGCTCTAAGGGAGCCATGTGAGCGTCCCACACAGGCCAGGCCCCGGTAGTCACGGTCAGCGCAGTCAGGTCGGCACCACAGACTCCAGGGACACGAGCGGGGGATGGGGCGTCTCAACAGTGACCTGGCCTCAGGCCACAACCTCCTGGCACCCAAGGCCTCAGGTCACAGGATAAAGGTTCCCCAAACTCAAAGGACTACAGGTGTCCTCAGAGCTGACACTGACACACCACACGCTTCTTGGCCCCAAGGCGACTCTTCCAGGTCAGACTTGAGAAAACAGGAACGTTGTGGGGGCTGGCGGCCAGGTTGTAAGTCGGGGGCAGTCGGCGCTCACCACCTCCGGGCAGCGACGAGGGCGGTGACCCCTGTACCCCAGGTGGCCTGTTGTGAAGCCGGGCTAGTTCCTCCTAGACCCGTTAAGCTAGTGTCCAGACCCTAAGGCTCTGCTCCTCTGTTGCAGCACCCAGCCCCAATGAGCAGGACGCCCCCCATCAGACCCACGGCACGTGGAGCTGGCGGCAAATAGAAGCTCTTGGAAAGCAAACAAAGGAGAAGCCGCGAAACCGCGAGATCTTCATTCGCCAGAAGCCAGCAGTGCTCGGACCAGGGGGACACCAGCGCCTACAGCACAGGAGAGAACATGAGTCTCCTCAAAGAGCGAAAACCAAAAAAGCCGCATTACATCCCAAGGCCTCCAGGAAAGCCCTTCAAGTATAAGTGTTTCCAGTGTCCCTTCACTTGCAATGAAAAGTCACACCTTTTCAACCACATGAAGTACGGTCTCTGCAAAAACTCCATCACCTTAGTGTCAGAGCAGGACCGAGTCCCGAAGTGCCCCAAATCCAACTCTCTGGACCCCAAGCAGACCCATCAGGCAGACTCGGCAGCAAAGCCCACCTCCGCCAAACCCGTCTCCAACGGGCTCCCACACTTTGATGCCAAGCTCCAGCAAAGCCTCACCAAGGATGACGTGAAGGAAAACCTAGAACTGCATGCACGGGGGCCCCACAGGGGCCCAGGACAGAAGCCTGCCCTCCACGAGGAAGCTGCACCCCCGAGTCCAGCTCCAGAAGCCCCGCGGGGCACCCAGCCTGTCCTGGAAGGCATTGTGCGGCCCTCGGCATTCGTCCCAGTGGGAGAGCACAGGCTGAAGGGCCCAGAACACGCTGAGGCCCCCGAACTGCTGGCGCTGCCCAACCCCACGGCCAAAGCCACCGCCTTCCACACCAAGTCTGCATTCCACACTCCCGGCTACCCATGGAAGGCTGGCTCGCCTTTCCTCCCGCCCGAGTTCCCACACAAAATCCCTTCTACAAAGGGGTTTAGTGCCATTTCCCCTTACGTGCACCCCGCGATCCCAGAGTACCCGCCGCACTTCTACACTGAGCACGGACTGGCCACCATCTACTCGCCCTACCTACTCGCCGGGAACTCACCCGAGTGCGATGCCCCCCTGCTGCCTGTCTACGGGGCCCAAGACCAGAGGCACCTGCTGCCTCCGCCGGGGCCGGTCCCGAAGCACCTGAACCCCCCCTCGGCCTACGACCATTACAGGTTCTTCCAGCAGTACCATCCCAACCTGCCCATTCCGTACGGGTTTTACAGACCAGAGTCTGCGTTCTCCTCCTACGGTCTCAGACTCCCGGCCGTCGCAGGTGTTTCCAGAGATCAAAGCTCCCACCTCCTGGAAGAAGCTGCCCTGCTCTACCCGGCCCTGAGTCCGTCCAAGTCAAGTCCTTCCAGCACCCACAAAAAGCACACCGAGTGTGAGAAGGAGAGCCCAACTCCCGAGGCTAAAGATCGCTCCAAAGATGAGCAGAGGGACGCAGAGGGGACCAAAATGAGCCCTCGAGCCGGCAGCGCGGCCACGGGCTCCCCGGGAAGGCCGAGTCCCACCAACTTCACGCAGACAAGTCAGCCGTGTGCCGGGCCGTGCGGCCTCTCGGACAAGCCAGCCCCCGGCGTCCCAGGACGGCTCCATCCGCCTGAACACGGCCTCACAGCCTTCAGGCCTGTCAAGAAGAGCGCAGAGTGCCCACAATCGCAGGTTCTGGAGAACACAGACGAGTCTCCAAAGAGGTAAGAAAAGTTTCATTTTCAAAATCTCCAGAGTGTGTCCCGGGTCGTGCTCAAGTAGCCAAGCGCGTGCGGGCTCGCGGCGCCTTAGAGCGGCGCTTTCCCGGGCAAGGTTCCCATTAAGCCTCTCTCTGCCTCTCTCCTCCAGCCTGGACGCCACGAGCGGAGACGCTGCGGGTGCGGGTGCGGGTGCGACAGGAAGTGCCTCCCCCGGCCCGGAGGCCACACTGTCCGGCCCGGAGGACAGCTCCCGGACAGCCCCGCTGAACCTCTCCAGGAAACCAGAGGCTCCGCCAGCCACGCACAGCCCCGCGTACAAGGACTTCGCGGAGCTGCAGGACGTGCCTCTGAACCTGTCGGTGAAGGACCCCTGCAACGCCCTGCCCCCGAGGCCCCCGTTCCACCGCCCGCCGCGAGGCGCAGACCCGGACGCTGCGGCCGCCCCGAACCCCAACGTGCCCAGAGCCGAGGATGGGCCCGAGCAGGCGCAGACAGACCCCAGCAGCCCTGACGCTGCTGCGCGGCCCCCAACAGCGCCCCCCGCGAGGGCCCAGGAGCCGGCAGCGGTGGACAGCAGCGACGAGCAGAAGCAGACGGCGGCCGTGGCCCTCTGCCAGCTGGCAGCCTACAGCCCGGGGACCGTCCGGGTGGGCGACGGGGAGCCCACGGCCCCAGAGTCCACCTGCCAGCAGGATGCACCCACGGTCCACGCCACGGAGAACCAGGAGGCTCAGTGCGACCCCAGACCCAGAGGGCAAAAGAGGACAAGTCCGAGGGATGCAGGGAAGTCCCAGCAAGGGACCAAGAAGACGAAGCCGAGCGACACAGCCAGAGTGTTCACTCTCCGGAAAAGAACACGGGTGTCCTAGTGCCCGGGCCCCGTGGGATGCAGACACGCCTCCCAAAGCAGGTGGCAACAGCAGCAAATCTCCACTGGCGCCTTCACTGTATCTGGTCAATTTTTTACGATGCAGTTTCTTTTTTCTTCTCAAAAAAACACACCCCCCCCAAAAAAAACAAAAAAATAAAAAAACGAACAAAAGAAAGAAAAAACTGCAACTTCAGTTTCTGTAAATATTAAGCATGAATATTCAAAGGTGCTTTTACTTTTTGGTTGTAAAAATATTTAAATGACTCATACACTTAAGACTGATGAGTTAAACTGCCTTTCATTTTTGTAAAATGTCACATGGAATACACAGACTAAAAGACAGCTTTTAGGTGTACACCATCTTATAGGAAAGCTTTAAAAATACTTTTCTTATAAATACCTTAGTACTAAAACAAACTGCTTTAACTGTTTTGCTAACAATTCTGCTGCACGTTTTCAAGTAAGTAACAGTTACTGGGGGGAAAAAATGCCAGGAGAAAACATTCCCAGTCCTGTCATTAAAGTGCCCGAGGTAAAAACTACGTGATTTGTTACGAGGACACACGAACATCAAGAGGCTATTTATACACATAATTTATTTCCACCAGGGAAAAACGTATCGCGGGAGTGGCTATACGTTCCTACTTCTTCATGATGCTACAGTGAATTTCCCGACTCATTCTGCCTCGTTTTCCACTTTCTAAAATGATGTACATATTGCCAATTTTCCAATAAACTCATAGGTGACTTTAAGAGCACATGAACTCTGTGTGATGTTTTTTAGTCTGGCACAACCAACTCGGTGAGGGAAGGAACAAGCTGAGGCAACAAACTGAGAAAAAGAGCCCCTGCCCCTGCGTGTGTGCGTGTGCGTGTGTGCGCGTGTGTGCGCGTGTGTGCGTGTGGGCACGCGTGCATGTGTGGTGCCACAAACAGGAGGCACTAAGTCTGGCCCTGCACACCTGCCCGGGGCTCCCGAGGCCTCAGGTCCTACAACTGCCACCTGAGAAAAGGCCGTCAGCACCGGCACACCCCACCCCACGGGCCTTCGGGAGACCCCGTCCTCCCACTTTTCAGGAGGGCCCCTGCCCTCTGACGCACCAGCTGGGCTATGCACCAAAGGCCACGGCGCACAGCAGTGGGTGCCGAGGTGTGCCTTCAGACAACCACATGCGGTTAACCCAAAACGCAGAGTTAACCACACAAACGTGAGGGGCACGTGCATTACCTTCACTATGACGCCAGGGCTCTCTCGTTCCTATACCTAAATGGTTTGACAAAGAACAAAAGTAGGATAACCCTGCTTTCCGGCCAATTAACACCCTGCAGGAAGCAACACCATACATCAGGGGCTGTGTTCCAGGCTCAGGACCCAAAGCCTGGCATCCAGAGACAAGCCCTCCCCTCTGGCCTTACGCACAAGAACACAAACCTTCCGTGTCAAGGGCCCAAAGATTCGGAGACCACGATGTTTTAAAGTTCACCCAAAGTGTAAGGCATCATCCGAAGTGATAAAAAGAGGAAGCAGGACCGTTAACGACCGTGCAGCCCCCCTGCCACAGCGCAGCATCGGAGGAGATGCACGCCTCGGAGCTCTCGAGAGGCAGAGGCCGCCGCTACCTGTAGATTCTCACTGTGGAGCATGTGTGCCTGCAGCAGGACGACGGACCCCTCTCATGCAATTCCCCCAGAGGTCACACGTCACAGCCACGGAGACCCCGGCAGGCCCTTCAGATCTGTCTTGAAAGCACAACGGAGGGCACCTAGGTGGCTCGGTTGGTCAGTGTCAGACTCTTGATTTTGGCTCAGGTCACGATCTCCAGGTAGTAAGACTGACTGAGCCCCGTGTTGGGCTCCACATTCAGTGGGGAGTCCGCTTGAGATTCTCTCTCCCCCTCTGCCCCTCCTCCCCCCACACTCTCTCTCTCCCTGTCTCTCTCACTAAATAATAATGATTTCAAAGTACAGTGCACTCCTAGATCTCTGTAACAAAAAGTCTTGCTGGTTTTTTAACTATACTACCTTTCTGTATTTACTTGTGACCCAACTTGAGAGTTCTAAGTTTTTAACCTTTACATGTAAAAAATAATAAACCCTCAAAGTTAAATGTAGAATGATTTCCCTACGACCCTGCAATTCCACTCCTAGGTACACACCCCGAAGAAGTAAAAACAAGGACCCAAACAGATACGTGTACACCAAAGTTCACAGTAACATTATTCACAAGAGTCACAGGATGAAAGCAACACAAGCCGATCAATGAACGGATAAAACGGGATATCCATTCGGCAGATCATTCAACCGTCCAGAGGAACGACGTTCTGACAAACGCTACAGCAGGAATTAACCTTGAAGACCTCCTGCTTGGGGAATTAAGCCCAACACAAATGGACAAACCTTGTACAACTCTACCTGTGGGAGCACCTGCAGCGGGCAGATTCATAGAGGCAGACAGAGGGGTGGCTACCAAGAGCCGCAGGGGAAGGGAGAGGGGAGCTTAACGAGGACGGTTTCTGTTCAGGATGATGAAAAGTTTTCAGAAATGGTGATAATGGTTGTACAAACTGTAAATGTGGCTGATACCACTGAATTGTACATGTAAAAATAGTCAGCAAGGCAAATGTTTCTATTACGTATTTTTTTTAATACACCCAAAACCTTGAATCGTGTACCTTGAATAGGTAAACTGCCCGGCAGGTGAACTGTCTCTCAATACAGCTAACAGGGACCTTGAATGCGAGTGAAGAGGGAAACAAAATGCTGACAAGAAGCCTTCTGAAGAGGCTTCCCAGCAGCCCGTGGCAATCTGCCCCACCACCAGCTCAACCTTCGCCACGATGCCACACTCCGTGGGGAAAGAGGGCACGGGCGTGTGAAATAAAGCACACACACACATTCATCAAGGAGAAAAGCACTTTAATTCAGAAGGGCCGAACGACTACTTCACATACTAAGTCAAAGAGGTCTCATTATGGTATTCACGTCTTTCTAGGTTTTTTTTTTTGTTTGTTTATTTTTAAGCAATCTCTACACCCTGTGAGGCTCGAACTCTGAGATCAAGAGTCACGTGGCTCTTCCAACTGAGCCAGCCGGGTGCCCCTGATTCACTTTCCTTACAGACGGGAATGTCCAACAGTAGAAAACACACAAAGGTTAAAAACCGGAGAGGCACATGGTCCTCAGAACAGGAAGGTGAGAGGACTGTGAGGAGCACTGGAGAGTGCAACCCCTCTCAGGCCCGGCTGCTCCCTTGGGAACTGATGTACACAGGCCTGTGGGTAGCGACGAGGTCAGGAGACGTCCGTGTTCTGCAACCACAGAGCTGCGGTCACAGCCGGGCCCCACCTCCCAAAGCAGGCTGACTCCAGGCTCCATGGCACCTGGGCCAAGGAGACAGTATGGCAGTGTCACCAACACGGCCCCTTCCAGGGACACAGGACTGCCTCCGTGGCAGACTTTGGCTTGCGGACGCCAGCCCCACCCCCACCCCACCCCACTGGGGCCAGACAGTGGCACTGCTAGCCTTCCAGTCTTCTCTCACAGGCACTTCTCTAATAAAATCTCTGCACATCTGATCCCGTCTCAGCATCTGTCTCTGCTCAGGGGACCCAGACTAATGCCGGAATGCTAGTCAAATGCTAGTTTTGGATAATGTCACAGAATATAGCAAAGGAGGGAATTCCACAAATCTGTCCCTCCACCACAACAACCATTAAGCCAGCAAAAACAGACTCAACTTGTTCAGAACTCTGAAATCTCATCAAAAACTTACAGCAACCAGGAGACTGCTGAGTGAAGAAAAAAAATCTACAAAATTTCACCACTTAAGGAAATCTCTGTTAGGTCACTCACTGGCAGTCTACCAACATAATGGAACAGAGACTTCAGTGACCAGACACAACAAGGAATACAGTCGTTACAAACAGAAAAGTCACTAAATGGACAATGATCACCTTCAACAAGCAACAGCAGCAAACCCCTGGGAACAGGGAGAACCTGATTTCCACAGTTACCACACTATAGTATTCAAAATGTCCAGTTTTGGGGCACCTCAGTGGCTCAGTGGTTGAGCATCTGTCTTGGCTCAAGTCATGATCCCAGGGTCCTGGGATCAAGTCCTGCATCAGGCTCCCCACAAAGAGCCTGCTTCTCCCTCTGCCTATGTATCTGCTTCTCTCTGTCTCTCATGAATAAATACAATCTTAAAAAATAAAAAAAGAAAAGCAGAGAAATTGTCCCAGAGGAAACCCAGACATTGTACTAAAATGAGACAAAGACTTTAAATCAATTTTCAGATACGCTCAAAGAGCTAAGGGATACCAAGAGAACAATGTCCAAACAAACACAGAATGTAAATAAAAAGACAGAACATATAGAAAGAGACCATATAGAAATTCTGAAACTGAAAAACACAGTAAGAGATCTGAAAACTTCAGGTGAGCTGTACAATGGCAGATCTGAGCAAGTAGAAGAAAGAATCAGTGAACCTGAAGAGAGCGTAACCGGTGTTATCCAGTCTGAGGAGCAAGAAAAGAAGAAGAAAAAGGAACAAATGTTAGCCCGTGTCAGCTTCGGAGCCTGTGCCAAGACAACAATCACTGTTCCCAAGGCCTGGTGCCATCCTTCCCGGGCCAGAGACGGCACAGCTCCCTGCGACCCCGCCAGGCACAGCAAGGGCCTGGCAGGAGGATTCAGCACACATGGAAGACGCCACCAGGCCGCAGGCAGCCAGCCAATCAAGCAAAGACACACATTTTATCTTCTAGATTTTAGCCAACAGCTTGACACCTGTCATTCATGACACCAACGCCCACGTTCTCTCACTCCGGCAGCTAGATCCGGTGGACACTGCAACATCATAAGATACGATGGGCACATGCACACCAGCCAGTCTCAGGCATGGAAAGCAGAGGCAAGGCTCTATGTCCTTCAGTTAAACAGGAGTCAGAACCACCCACTTAGGGATTTCACCTTGTCTGTCACACACTCACACAGAAGACTGGTCTTAAATCAAAATGCAGGACTTTGGTGCAAATGACACCAACCAGAAAGTGAAAAAACCACCATGGAATGGGGAAAAAAAAACTCCAGATCCTATATCTAGTGAAAGACTTACCAGGATATATGAAAAACTCACAGCCAACAACAAAAAGCCTTATTTATCTTTTTTTAAAGATTTTTTTTATTTTTATTTATTTGTTTATGAGAGACAGAGAGAGACAGAGGCAGAAACATAGGCAGAGGGAGAAGCAGGCTCCCCACAAGGGGCTCGATGCGAGACTCGATTCTGGACCCCAGGATCACTCCCTGAGCTGAAGGCAGACGCTAAACAGTTGAGCCACCCAGGCATCCCGACAGCCCCGTTTTTTAAATGAGCAAAGAATACGAACAGACAATTCTCCAACAAAAATATCCAAATGGCCAAAAAGCACATGAAAAGATGCTCAGCATCATTGGCCAACCATGGAAATGCAAATTAGAGCCAAAGTGAGATGCCACTTCACACCCATTAAGAGAAAAACAAGTGTCGAGGAGGATGTGGAGAAAGTGGAAGCCTCATATGCTGTTGGAGGAAATTTAAATGGTACTACCATTTTGGAAGACAATTTGGCAGCTCCTCAAAAAGTTAAAGACAGAGTTACCACATGACCCAACAACTCCACTCCTAGACAGATACCCAAGAGAACCAGAATCGTACGTCCACACAGAAACCTGCACATGAACATTCATAGCAGCGTTATTCATAATCCAAAAGGGACAAATCCAAATGTCCATCAACTGACGAACAGATAAACGGCCTGGTGTATCCAGACAGTGAGTGGAATATTAAGGCATAAAGAGGAACAAGGTACTACTGTTGCGTGCTACAACGTGGATGAACCTTGAAAACATCACACTGGATCCCTGGGTGGCGCAGTGGTTTGGCGCCTGCCTTTGGCCCAGGGCGCGATCCTGGAGACCCGGGATCAAGTCCCACGTCGGGCTCCCGGTGCGTGGAGCCTGCTTCTCCCTCTGCCTGTGTCTCTGCCTCTCTCTCTCTCTCTCTCTCTCTCTCTGTGACTATCATAAATAAATTAATTAATTAATTAATTTAAAAAAAAAAAAAAAGAAAGAAAACATCACACTAAGTCAAAGAAGTCAGGCACAAGACACTATCGTAGATTCCACGTATAGCGACCCGCAAAGGCATATTTAGAGACTGAAAGCAGATCAGTGGTTGTCTGCAGTGGGTGTGTCAAGGAGAAAGGGGGAGTTGACTGCCCCGAGCACAGAGTTTCTTTGTGGGACGACAAAAATGTTCTGAAATTAGATTATGATGATGGTTGCACAACCCTGTAAACATGAACCATTGAACTGTACACACTAAATGGGTGAACTTCACGGTATATAAACTTTATCTCGGTAAAGCTGCCACAAAAATAAGCAGAAGTAGGAAACAGAATCTTGACAGTCTCAGAGGCTCCTCATGCTTCACGATGCCAAGGGCAAAGCCGTTACTCCTGATACCCCACAGCTCAGACGCTAAGAGCACTATGCAGAGCCCCACCCGCCTCTGCACAGACATCTTCATCCTGGACAGACGCCAACTCCCAGGGCATAGAGCATCTGTGGCGACACAGCCCCGGATAGGGCCTTCTCCGTCCTTTGCGGGTATCCTTCACTTCTGTCCACACCCAGAGCGGATCCCCATCAGCCAGACCGGGCTTCACAGGGCCACAGCCCCACCCTCCCTCCACGTGCGGAGGCCCAACAGCTGGCACACACAGCTTGGAGCTCGGTGGCCCCTCTGCGTCTGCCACACTGTGCCCCCGTACCCCTGCTCAGGCCCGCTACCAAGCTTCCTCGGGCCCTCTGTCCCCTCCTCTTGTTCCCAGGGGACCATGATGTCACTCCACGTGACGAATACAGCAGCAGTACAAAACTTCTTAATAGGCAACAGCACCCCCACAGGGGTGAAAACCAGTCCTGAGAGACAAGAAAATCTCAGACATTACAATGGTTCATGGCTCCCCGAATGCAAACACACACTGTACCAGTGGTATTAGAATTTCACAGCAGGGAGAAGAGACAGCTGGAAAGTCAGAAAGGTTGATATAAGCAAGTTGAAAGACACAGGTCTAGTTTGCTTTCTCCTGCACAGAAATGCACCAGGCAGTGAGGGCAGAGGCCGGGTGTGTGCTCACGGCAGCCCACGCTGCAGACACTGGGTGAAGTAAAGCACCTGATGTGCTACAAACCGTCCTGATGATGCAAAGCGAATGTCTGCAATACTCACCATCCTCGAGTCGAGAAGGGAGCAACAGGCCTCTTCTGCCCAGTTCCGCCAACGCCAGACAGCCACCGTGCCAGGCATTGTCCGTCTCCTGAAAACTGAGACACACAGAAAGCCTGAGATCGCAGCGCTCCTGCCGGCTTCTCGCGCCGTGCACACACACTGCAGGTCCCCGTCCTATACCCGGGAGCCTCACTGAAAGCTGCTCGTGAGTTTTCAGAGTCGGACGGCTGAAGAAATAAATAAGCACTGTGTCCAGGACTTCTCTTCAGGTCTCCCACTGACAAGCACGGGCCCTAGGTGGGCCCCACGTGCTGCCAACCGAGGAAGCAGGCCACAGGTGTGCGTCCGCGAGACACCCAGGCTCCACACAGGTTTCCTGACACAGCAGCGTGTGCCAGCGGACTACACACCCAACAACTCACCCTAGCCACAGGCACTAAAGCCCGGGGACTCACAGCACAGGGGTTCTATCAAAATAAGGCTAGACTACATCAGCAGAGAGGGCAGGAGACCTCCTTCCCTGGCTTAAAGCAGAGATTAAAATGTCAGAATGAAATGCCGGTGAGAGAACTGGTTTTGCGCTATTTGAAACACAGACTCTTAATAAATGATTCTGCCAATTAATCAAGTCGTAGTAAAATTGTATATCTAATAAAATTTTTCCTGAAGTGGTCTGGAAGCTCACATTTACAGGTCCACCCGTGGGATCATGAATAGCGAGAAGTCGTTCTCAGAGTGCTAAGGGCTGTCCTGAAAGTTCTACACTCGGCTGCCAATATAAACATGGAAATACGCTTCGCCAAAAAGCAGGAGGCATTATAGGGCCCTTTCCTGTTCTAAATCCATCATTCTGGGCTGCCTGGGCGGCTCGGTGGTAGGGCATTTGCCTCTGGCTCAGGGTCCTGGGATCGAGTCCTGCATCGGGCTCCCCACAGGGACCCTGCCTCTCCCCCTACCTGTATCTCTCATAAATAAATGAAGAAAAATCTTTAATTAATCAATTAATCCATCATTCTGATGGCAAAGAAATGTTTAAGAAAAGTAACTGAACTGCATCCCTCCTAGCAACAAGCAAAAGAACGTGCAGAAAGGAGAAAGCGTAGTCTTATCTGCTCACTCCTGCGTGCCAGGGCCTACAGACGTGGACTCCCTGGGACAGACGGAGGTGCCGCCCCGTGGGCGTCACCACCAACTCATGCCAATTTTTATTTCCAATTATATATGTTTAAGTTCCAAGTGTTTTTTAAATGTCTGCCCCAAAGGCCATCTGACCATTTCAAAATCTAATATTGCATCTTGTGTTCTTTAGGATTTTAAATGGAAAAAAATGCTTCATGTTTTTCATAAGATTTGATATATTTTTTAAGATTTATTTATTTGAGGGATCCCTGGTGGCGCAGCAGTTTGGCGCCTGCCTTTGGCCCAGGGCACGATCCTGGAGACCCGGGATCGAATCCCACGTTGGGCTCCCGGTGCATGGAGCCTGCTTCTCCCTCTGCCTGTGTCTCTGCCTCTCTCTCTCTCTCTCTCTCTCTGTCTCTCTCTCTCTCTGTGCCTATCATAAATAAATAAAATTAAAAAAAAAAGATTTAGGGATCCCTGGGTGGCGCAGCGGTTTGGCGCCTGCCTTTGGCCCAGGGCGCGATCCTGGAGACCCGGGATCGAATCCCACGTCGGGCTCCCGGTGCATGGAGCCTGCTTCTCCCTCTGCCTGTGTCTCTGCCTCTCTCTCTCTCTCTCTCTCTCTCTGTCTCTCTCTCTCTCTGTGCCTATCATAAATAAATAAAATTAAAAAAAAAAGATTTATTTATTTGAGAGCGAGCAAGCAAGCAAGAGAGCAAGTACAAGCAGAGAGGGAGGCAGAGGGAGAAGCAGACTCCCTGAGCCACTCAGGCGCCCCGAGATTTGACGTCTTAAAGACACTTGCAAAAAATCAGCATTATGACGACTCATTTATGACCACAACAATCACCAGTTACACCAATGCCCGTTTCCGAACTAAACGTGTGCACTGCTGCTGGTCAACAGCTATGGAAAGGGGCACAACATTCCATCAGGCCTGTGGCCCGAGGGGAAACCAGGAAGACCAACGCCCTGCTGGCCCCTACTCTGCCCTCCAGGGGGGCTCAGGAACAGCGCCTCCCCCGCACGGCCTCCGGCTTGCGGCCAGACGTCAGCCCACTCACTCTCTCCTAGGCCCGAACTGCACAAGCAGACGTGGACACAAACATGCAAGGTGACAACACTGTATCACTGCATCGGCTGAGCCAGGGCACGCTAGCGCGCTGCCAAGTGGCAGAGGGCAAGTTCTGTCGCAGATCCAAGCGCAGGGCAATCCTGGGAGGGCACAGGGTCATGGGAGAATGGAGACCAGCAAGAGGCAGAGCCGTGAGTGGGTAGGTTCAGGAGAGAAAGGCCCAGAAGGGCCCAGGGACCCCAGCCCCAAACCACCAGGGGCAGTAAGCAGCACAGAGGAGGAGGACCTCAGAGGTGACCGAGTGGAGCTTGTGGAGGACAAGCAACGGTCAGTGTAGAAGGGACGGCCAAGACATTCTCGTTGATGTACTCACCTGTGCACCCAATATCCCTGGAGGACACAGGAAAAGTGGTGCCCCTGGGGTACCAGGAGGAGGGGACGATGTGTGCAGGGGAAGGTCAGAGAGAGGCACTTCAGCATCTTTCCTTCCATTCTGAATTTTTAACTAAAATATTACCCAACCAAAAGCAAAGATAAAACTAAGAGAAGAATAGAAAGCAGGGGCAGCCCCGGTGGCTCAGTGGTTTAGCGTCACCTGCAGCCCAGGGCCTGACCCTGGAAACCCCGGATCGAGTCCCACGTCAGGCTCTCTGCATGGAGCCTGCTTCTCCCTCTGCCTGTGTCTCTGCCTCTCTTTCTCTCTGAATGAATAAATAAATAAATATTAAAAAAAAAAAAATCGAAAGGAGCCATGTGGTGCATCGGGGGAAGGGGAGTGCTCCCTGGGGCCGCACGGCAGGGCCACCAAAGGTTTCTCAAAGTCACAGAGACTCCGAGAAGCCGCACCACATTAAATGTAATGGGATCTAAAGCTGATAACAGAAATGTAACAGAAATAACTAAAGTCCTCAAATTTAACTTCAAAAGGAAAGCAAAAAGGCTCTGGAGGCTCTGACGACGAGCTCAGCTGAAAGACGATGTAAAAAAGTAGAAGGAAAGAGGAGCCACTGCTTTTAGCCGGAAGCATGTCTCCATCCGATCGTCTCACGTACCTGAAACAATCCAGCACGGACCCAACCACGTCATCCGCCAGCTCTCTGGGAAGCCTCGCAGCCATCCTGCCAATCCTGCAAGCGAGACGCAGCACTCCGTCAGCATCGCCCCCGCCGTGAGGGGCACAATCGAGGAGGAACCGTCCCCAGAAACTCCCCCCCTCCAGGGAAGGGCGACAAGGGGCAGGCCCAGGGCAAGCCTCGCACACGGTCTGCTCGGCGCGAGGCCAGCTGCCTGCAGGAGCCCCATCCCAGCGACAAAAACACAAGGACACAGGCACGTCCCGAGGGAGGGAGACACGGGGCAGGTGCGCCCATACGGCAGCAGCGTGCCGGCGTCGAGGCTGCCCCCCACATCCACACTGGACACCCCGACTGGGTCAGCATCCCTCCGGGCCCAGCCCACTCCGCCCACATGGAACTCTGGGCTCAGAGGCTGCCTGCTGCCGAGTGAACGCCTTCTCCGCCAGGGCCCCTCTCTGGTTCCCAGAGGACCAACAGCACTGCCCGCCCACCGCTCCGGGTTCGGGGGGCCGTGCTAGTGTCTGCTCGCTGCGTGGGTGCCGTGCCTGCCTGCGCAAGGCGGGAGGGGCTGCTGACGGGACACGGAAGAGCAAGAAAAGGAACCCCTGCAAGGCAAAAAGGCGAACGTGGCATGCCCATAGTCCTGCCCACCGCGGCCAGAAAGGCCAGATGATGAAGGAGCCTCATTCCCCAGTAGCTTATATTCTTTAAAATTAGAACAAAATAATAAGCATCTATTAGGAAAAAACCATTCCACCTTCGAAAAACCTCTAAGGCATTCGCAGCTCTCAACTGCACATGAATGCTGTGCAGTGCTGAATGACGGAGGCGCTCACAGACCACGGGCCCCGAGTAGAAGCTGTCGGCCCTGGGCCCAGCTCCCGCAGCGGGACGGCGGGCACCTACCCTTTGGCCGCAGACCACCGCACGATCGTGTCCTGGTCCTTCAGCCCAACCAGCAGCTGCTCTGCAAGAACACAGGAAGGCCGAGACCATGAGCCGCACGCACTCCCCGCCGTCCTAGGGAGGTCCTGCATTGCCCCGGTCACTCAACAGCACCATGAGGGAAACTACATTAAGAATCTTAATTCTGGGGCAGCCTGGGTGGCTCAGCGGTTTAGCACCGCCTTCTGCCCAGGGCGTGATCCTGGAGTCCCGGGATCGAGTCCCGCGTCGGGCTCCCTGCAGGGAGCCTGCTTCTCCCGCTACCTCTGTCTCTCTGTCTCTCATGAATAATTAATGAACTCTTTTAAAAAATAAAATAAATAAAACCAACTCTTGCCATTGTTGCTACAAAGTAGACCCCCCTCCATAAGCACAGAACCGGGCAGAAAGCACCGCTGAGGAAGACTTCCCGGAGATCAGCGTCTGCCAGAGGGTGTAGAAAAGAGGGTCTCCTGAGGTCTCGGGCACAGGCCAGACTCCAGGAGGAGTCACACAGAGACCCGAAGGAAGTGGGAGATGTGAGAGGCCTCTCAGTAAGGGCATGGCAAGCCCCAGTCAATGGAGACCTTGACCGAGGTCACCAAACACGTAGGAAGGACAGGGGTCAAGTTCACTGTGACCGGGGCAGCGTAGGACCCCAGGGGTGGGGGGAGCAGGAGGTGTAGACAAGTCTGAGAAGCAGCTCACTGTGAAGGGGAAGAGAATGGACGTGAGAAACAGTGAGAGGGACCAGGGGAGGAGCAAGCTGTCCCTCGTGGACAGGGAGGCTGGGGTACAGCTCGACGACGGTGGGAGACCCCACAGTGGGGGTGGGGGGAACCCGACAAGGACGAGTGGCAGGAGGCTGGCAGGGTGTCGGAGCCCCTGCAATGAGGCTCTGCCCTCTGTGTGAGCACGGGGACGGTCCTCGGGTCCCTGGGCCCAGGGCTCGAGTTTGCCGCAGGAGGGACACTGCAGGGAAGCCACCACTCCCTTCCCCCGAGGAGGCGACCTGGGGGCAGTGGCTGCACCTGGGAAGGCATGGTGGAGGGCGGGGTACCTGGTCCCGAGCTAGAAGGGAGGGACAGGCTCACCCCGGGGAAGCGCTCGGTGAACAGAGTGACAGGGGCACCGGACTGCAGGCCAACGGCCACAAGCTCCTTGAAAGGTGCAGAAGGTCCCAGAAGGCCGTGACGAGGGCACAAGAGGGGAGGAGGGCACGCAGCCAATGCGGTGCTCGCAGAGGAGCGTCCCCCGGACCCGTGGGGGCCCCACCCACCTATCACACTCTCCACATCCTCGGGCACGTCATAGTCGCCGTCGCTATCGCAGTCGGCAGTCTCCGCGGGCATCTGCGACCCCTCCGGACCCTGCGCGCGCGGCTGCAGGTTGGCGGCCAGGGAGCGGCAGCCGCGCTGGTACCTGCAAACACACACTGCCTGAGCCGCGGCCGCCAGGAGCAAGCCTCCAGGGAGCCATGGGCCTGGGCCGTGACCCCGTGTGCGACAGGCGGCCGCGCAGCCCCGGGAGGCACCCACGGGGCTGCCCACAGGGACCCCCAGCGCGGAGCACCGCGCCCGCCCAAGCCCCTGCAGCGGCGCCGGAGGCCGGGGTCAGCGCACCCAGCGGACGTGGTCACGAGGGCTCCTGCCCGAGCCCCAGCAGCCCTGCCCTCCGGCCGCCGAGCCGCAGGCGTGTCCATGGCTGGCCTGGCCCCGGCTGTCCACACCACTGCCTTGGGGGCGGGGGCGGGGGCGGACCCCCAGCCGCGCACGAGCACAGCTTCAGGGACACGGAACCTGACGCCACCCGCTCGGTCACCCGCAGCCCAGCAATCACCAGCCGCCCACAGCTGCCCACTGTGACGTCGTGCCATCCTCTGCCGTTGGTGCGGCCAGACCCACGGCTCCGGGCCAGGAGGCTGCGGCCGTGAGGGGCTGTCCCTCCCAGGGAGCCTCAGGGAGACGGGGCTTCCGCCTCGCCACCCCTCTTCGCCAACACAGGCCCGTCGCCACGCTGCACCGCACGCTGTGCCCCATGCGCCGGGACCTGTGGGAGGCCTCCAGCAGACAGCCGCGGGAATGTGGCCCCCCAGGACATGCGCGCCCGCGGGCGGGGCCCCACCCCCCAACTGGACACCCTGGTGAAGCGTGAGACACACCCTGACCACGGCCTCAGCTACGGTGCACCCAGATTCCAATCCACGGAAATGAGGGCATCAAACACGCACCATTTTAAGCTGCTCAATCCGGGGGTACCGCCACACGACTGGGATTCTGTCCTTCACAAGAAATCCATGACGGGTCTTTGTCCCCTTCTGGATGGAGGGTCTTTTGTGACATTAATGAAGGGGCCTGGAAGCTCCCAGGCCCCTAAGGATGCAGACTGGTCACCGTGGGAACCAACCAGAGACTGAGGGCTGGAACCTGATTCTCACCTCCTGACCCCCAGAGAGAGGACAGGGGCTGAGGTTCAAGGAACCGCCAATGGCCGATCGTTTAGCCAATCGTGCCTCCGTAATGAAGCCACCATAGAACTCCCGAAGTTCGGGGTTTGGAGAGCTCCTGGGTGGTGAGCGTGTGGAGACCCAGGGAGAGGGCGGTGTGTGGACAGGGCACACCGCCCCCACGCCCCACCTGCGCTTCTCTCCCACCTGGCTGTTCCTGACCTGTATCCCTTTAGAGTAAACTGGTCCTCTACTTAACAAAATGTTTCTCTGAGTTCTATGAGCTGCTCTAGCACGTTAAATGTGCCCGAGGAGGGAAGTGTGGGGATCCCAATTTATACTTAGTCAAGGCACAGGTGACAACCTGGACCTGCTCCGGGCATCTGAGTGATGCAGGTGTGGGCGAACAGGACAGTCTCGTGGAGCAGAGCCCTTAACCTGAGGAATCAGACACTACCTCTGGGTAGACAGGGAGACACCCAGCTGGCGTCCAGGGAATCTGCTGGTGTGGGGAGAAAAACCACACTTGAGAGCAGGTGTCAGAACGGGAGTAGCAGCACATCACTAACTCAGGTAGAGCATCCCCCGCCACCAGAGGAGCGTCCTCAGAATCATAACCTGCCCGGCACGGGTCCCAACGAGGCCGTTCCCTTGCTCCTGTTCTCAAATCAGTACGCACGCTGATTATCTCGCAGGAACATACTCACCCGAACACTCAGCAACCACAACTACAAAGATGACAGACCTTAGGCAGCCACGGGCTTACCCTTCTGCCATCAACAACTACAAAACCCGGATGGAAGTTGAGACCAGCCAGTGGCACACACGAGATGACAATCAAGGCCAGGCTACCATTCCTCACGGCAGGAGGCGCCAGGAGCACCCCACCTTCACCTGCTTCCTCCCCAAAGGTCCTCTCTAAACCGCAGCACAGGAAAGAGAGCCCAAGCACAGAGCAGCAGTCTTGCCTGGTGAGGAAAAGAATTCACGACCACAGAGATGGTGACTATCTGGGGAGAGACGCCGGAGAAAAACTAACTGCTGAGAAGGAAATCAACGATTGTGCACCGGAGTCCCCTTGGACGACCCCTAAGACGTGTGAGGGCAGGACGAGAACCAGAAGCACCGCGAGAGAGCAGGTGGGAAGCTGAGACCTGAGCGGAGTCCAGAGGTCACGTAAGGCTGGAGAGTCCCCGCACGTGGGCCCAGCAAGGGAGACCAGGCAGCCGCGCGCTAGAAGACGGGGCGTGACGAAGGAGCAAGGGCTGTGTTCCGGCAAAGAGGAGCGGAAGACAGACCACCCTAACGTGGCCCCAGGAGGAGGGAGCAGCCCCAGCAAGTTAGCAGCCTGCCAGACGGGCTTGCTGCTCCTGGTCAAGAAGGCAGCCGACAGAAGACCGACACTGAAGATAAAACACAAACGTAACAGAGGAGATAAAATGGAAGAAAAAGGAAGAGACAGAAAAAAAATAGCAAGATGATAGATTTCCATTAAATGTACACGGAAATGCAAACCGAATAAAGTAATTAGGCTGCTGAGTTCTTTTCCTTCCCACATAAAGGTTTACAGTCCCTGTGATCATTCATTCCACGTGTCAACTGAGCTGGAGTACTCAGATGTTCAGCCAAATGTTATTCTGTGCGTGCCTGAGTGCTTTTGGGCGAGATGAACATTTAAACTGGTAGACTGAATAAATCAGATGGTCCTCCCCAGTGTGGGTGGGCCTTGCCCAATCAGTGGAAGACCTGAACAGAGCAAAGAGGCCAACCGTCCGCCGGGGGAAGGAGTTCCTCCTGCCTTTAGACTCAAATGCCACCGTGAGCCCTCCTGGGTCTCCAGCTTTCTGACTCACCCTGCAGATCTCGGGACTTGCCAGCCTCCACAACCACGAGCCAATTCTTCCCAAGTGTCGTGCAAGCGCACACACATGCCCACTTACCCTACTGGCTCTGTGTCCCTGGAGAATCCTCGTAACAGTACCGAACATTAATTTTCCAAGGCATTTTGGAAACTAACCACTAACACTTAGTCTCATAAACAACTTCTTACAGAATGAGCTATGTGACCCCCAAGGCTAATTAAGTAAAACATCACTAGAACATTAACACACTTCTCTGGAATTTGCTGGAATTTGAGCCAAAGGCTGAGTCGAGCTTTACCAAACAATTCCTCCCAAGCCACCATATCAATTCTTGAAATAAAACGGAAGACTCTCAGCTCTGTCCCTACCACCGAGTCACACGGAGGCAGAGGTTCAGATGCTCTCAAGAGTGAGGAAGGCACTGCTGCTAGGGGACAATCAATGGACGTTAATATGGATTCACAAGAGGCTGAAGACCACCCTCATCCACAACGGCCTAGCACGGGGATTTGCGAAGCTGCCAAAGCCTTAGACACGTGCCCGACCCACCTCTGTGCGCTTGCATCAACTGTGAGGAGCCGGTGTGTGTCGAGCTGGCGTGGGCGCTTTGTGCTGAGCGTCAAGTCAACCTAATTAAGGTTGATGACAACGAGAAAAGAGGGGAATGGACGGGCCTCTGTCAAACTGACAGAAAAGGAAGATTAAGTGGTTGGCTGCAGTTGTGTGATGGTTAAGGACCATCACAAGGAGTCTCGGGCCAGGGATGTCATCGAGGAATGCTTCAAACACAAGAAATGAACCAATCCAGAACTTGGTTCCTGTTCCTCATGAAAATACAAAAACAAAAAAAACAAAACAAAAAACCCAAAGAGTGGACAGGCCGGGTGGCTCAGCGGTTTAGTGCCGCCTTCAGCCCAGGGTGTGACCCCAGGGTCCTGGGATCGAGTCCCAAATCGGGCTCCCTGCATGGAGCCTGCTCCTCCCTCTGCCTGTGTGTCTGCCTCTCTCTCTCCCCCTGTCTCTCATGGATAAATAAATAAAATCTTAAAAAAAAAAAATTTTCAAAGACCGTTAAAAACACAGTACTCCAAGCACAGCAGAGAAGTCTGTGTCTATGGGAGCCACTAGTGCCCCAGCAAACTGTTAATTAACGCAGGCTACCCTCAGACCATTAGTTAAAACACTTTCCGTCCGCGGGCAGAGACAGCCTGGCTTTCTGAATCAACCTCACGGAGCAACAGCTTGCTCTCTTTGAAAGAAGCTTGTACTCAGCGTGATCCCTAGTGGAGCTTTCCCTTTCGTGAGCCCCAACTGGTAGTCATATTGCACCTGAATAACATCACATAAAATGCAAAAGCAAACTTTCCTTACCAGCACTCCAGCTTCAATTATCCTAAGATGTAGGGACAGGAGAAAAATAAACTAAAAGGAAAACCTTTCCTTCAGAATTAGAAACACTACTGAGACGCAGAAAATGAAGCGGAAGCAGAGGATAACCAGCGTCCTCTGCCATGGCCACCCGCACCCAGGCAATCCCACACCAGCCTTCCCAACAGACGCTCAGGCCTGGCCCACTGACCTCCACTTTGCCACCCTGGGCTTCAGGAAGGTCAGTCCCAGCCGCTGCACGAGCTTCACTCCAAGTTTCCGGAGCAAGGTCTGGTTGCTGTCGGGGAGGTTGCAGCCCTCCAGGCACTTGAGGACGGTGGCAGCTGCAAATAACAGCACATTCAGCTCAGACTGGGGGGGAAGGATCTTTTTTTTTTTTTTAAGATTTTATTTATTTATTTATTCATGAGAGACACAAAGAGAGAGAGAGAGAGAGAGAGAGAGAGAGAGAGAGAGAGGGGGCAGAGACACAGGCAGAGGGAGCAGCAGGCTCCATGCAGGGAGCCCGACGTGGGACTTGATCCCGGGACCCCGGGGTCACGCCCTGGGCTGAAGGCAGACATTCAACCACTGAGCCACCCAGGCACCTGGGGGGGGAAGGATCTTATATGATCTCCCAAATTGCACAATCTGTGTCTGGCACCCACATTAAAACCACAGTTGAGGGACACCTGGGAGGCTCAGCAGTTGAGCGTCCAGGATAAAATGTGAATGAGAGGGCAGCCCCGGTGCCCAGCGGTTTAGCGCCACCTTCGGCCCAGGGTGTGATCTTGGAGACCCTGGATCAAGTCCCACATCGGGCTCCCTGCCTGGAGCCTGCTTCTCCCTCTGCCTGTGTCTCTGCCTCTCTCTCTCTCTGTCATGAATAAATAAATAAAATTTAAAAAAAAAACGTGAAAGAGACAGTTGATCATACACAGGCCGACTCACATCGCCAACACATCCTGATACAAACAGACCTTACCGTAGGGTAAACAGTCCTCACGCTTTCCATGCTTAAATATTTGCGCCTAAGAGGAAAAAAAATTCTGTTAAGTGTCAAAAAAAAACGTATTTAATATAAATATATATATATAAATATACACATCCACAAATCCAGAACATAAATTATCAGAACAGTTCACTGCATCTTTCCTGATTTTTACTCTAAATAGCACAGAATAACAGAAGACTAGTTCCCATACATGATAAAGGGATCACAAGAGGCAGGAGAGGCCACGTCCCCAAAGGACACTGTGATCTGGGGGTGCAACCGCAAGGCCCAGTCCGCCTAGGGAGGGCAAGGTGTCACCACTGACACGTGCCCAAACTGCCATTAAGGGCATCAGCCAAAGGAGGAGAGTGGAGGACCTCACGGGGTTTTCCTTGACGACCCGTGTATAAGTGAAGGTGCCAAAGGGCACAAGCTACAGGCCCAGCAGCTCTCAGGCTCAGAAGTAAGCGCACCACACGCTCCCGCAGCGCCAGGCGTGCTGGTCAGCAAGTGAGCAAGGGCTCCCCATGCTTCGGACACGCGTTTGCTCGTCCCGTGGTGCCCGGGGAGCTGTATCCCACGCCCGCTCCCTCAGCCAGGCGCCACCCCCAGACTCACAGCCCTCACAAGCTCGGAAGCTCCACCCTCCATTGAATTCCACCCTCCACTCCTGGATCTGGAAGAAAATGGGGCTAATTCACACCAGCATGCAAGCCTCGAGCACGGAGCACTTCTAAGACTTTCTTAGAGAATTTCCCCTCCTTCCAAAATGGTATTTAAGCCGCAAAGTGAGAACTACTTGTTTCGGATGGGAAGGTACGTGAGCCGTGTGCGCTAGCCTCCCCGGCCCCCCGACACCAGATCCAGACGGCGAGCTCAGCCCTTCGAGCCGCCCCACCGGCATCAAGGGGCAGACGGGCTACCCCGTGCCGCCCTGTCAGGACCCACAGAGTCATCACAATGGCTGTGGCGTCAAGCCACAGGCTCCGGGGTGGGCTGTTAGCCAACAGAGAACAAACCCCCAACTTAGGAAATCCACCCTGTAGGCCAGAGCGCTACCGTCGCAGCCTGGACGGCAGACACTGCCCAGCAGCAAGATGGGGACGCGGGGCAGGGTCACAGAGACAGTCCACGCCGGTGCAAAGGTCTGCAGGGAAGGAGGGGAGGACGGTGAGCAGCCAGGAGCACAGCCAGCAGCACCGGACAGGTAAAGCGTTCCCCGGCGGGGCCCTGGGCGCTCAGTCGGCCCTCGCTCGGGTCATGAGCCCGAGACCATGGGGGTCCTGGGATTGAGTCCCGCATCGGGCTCCCTGCACATCAGGGCGTCTGCTTCTCCCTGTCTGCTCCCCTGCTCCTGCTCTCTCCCCCTCACTCTTGCTTGCTCACTCAAATTTTTTTTGTGTGTTTCTTGGGTTCATTCACCAACTATTAAGAATTTAAAATATTATGACATGCCAGGAGTGATCACTCATGTGAACATTCTTTATTTGCCAAACTCCTCACAAAGTGTAAGAGAACAGAACAAAAGTGGCAAACACTGGCTGACACGGGCCCAGCGCTGGGCACGGGCACACGGCAACGGCCCCAGCCTGTCCCCACCCCACGAGGCGGCCCGCAGCGAGGCCCAGCCACTGTCTGGACCGACCTCAGGGTACCGGGACTGTGTCCCTCTGCTCCTCCCAACCTTGAATCCCACAGGGTCACCCAAGCGCTCCGTGCACCTGGAGAGGAGGGTCACCGGGAACCAACCTATGAACAGACTCCAGAGGGCAAAGGGATGAAAAGAAGGAACAACACCGCGCACACAGACACACACACCCCAATGAAGAAAAGCGCTTTGTTTTTGTTAGTTTTTTAAGACTGCGTTTATTTATCCGAGAACGAAAGAGTGAGCATGAGTAGAGGCAGAGGGAGAAGCAGACTCTCCGCTGAGCAGGGAGCCCAACGCGGGACGCGATCCCGGGACCTGAGCCGAAGGCAGGTGCTTTACCAACTGGGCCCCCCAGTCGCCTGGGGCTGTGTTCACACGTACAAATGGGGCACGTGCGCTGCCGTGGGCTCTTGCAAGCATGTGGCTCCGCAGACACACGCGGGGCAGTGAGCCCGGGGGGGGGGGGGGAGGGTGCTGAACCGCTCTCGTCTCCTGACCGTCTTAAGGATTCACCAGCCGGGCGGCAAGCGGGAGGTGCGCTCCTCTCTCCACGGAAGCACACAACATGAAGCAGCTGCACACGCTGCACAAGCAATTACGCCTCTTTGAGATCTGAGAGAAATGACCGTCGGGTCTGTTTCTGTTGTTCTAGAAACCAGCACAGTGCAAGGTGCAAACAAAAGGAGTTTCTTAGTAATCACTCTCCGCTGCCACACCTTTCCATCGCTACCCACCCAAGCCTGCTTTTCTGCAACGTGCACACCAGCTTCCCCTCCCCGGGGCATGTTCTGTGCGCGGTGAATCACAGGCCGTCGGCGGCTCGGGAGCCAGTCCGCCCGGCTGCCGAGCAGGAGACGCTGGTCTCAGGCTCCCCGAAGCACCACCAAGTCAAGGCCAAGAAAAGCAGCTCCACCCACAACCTGGGCAAAAGGCCCCCCACGCACGCCAGCTCCGGGGGCCCTCGGCGGCTCCCGTGAGCTCTGGGAGCTGGTGAGCACGCTCTGAACCAGCCTGCGGGGCCCCTCAACGTGTGGTCCTGTCCCGGGCGCCCCAGGAAAGCGTGCTACCACGAACACCGGCAAGCAGCCGGACAGGGCTCGGCCAGGTGCTCCCCCCTCTGCACCCTGACCCGGAGCAGCTCCGGGCCCCTCACGGCAGTCAGGCCACACGCGACGCAGGTAACCGTGAACACCGCCGGCAGCGACCCCACCAGCTCCCGGGGGGACAGCATTGAGAGGTGGGCCACGTCCTCTGCTGCCCCACAGCAAGCCCACCCAAGGCCACAGCTCTGGTGACGGCCGCAACAGCGCTTCGCAGAGGAACCCTCACACACACACTTCACAGTTCAGAGCAAATGACCCTCCTCCCACCTCCGGCTGGAACCTACTGCCCCCGCGGGCTGTGAAGGAGCCTGCTATGTCCCCCACCCCCGCCCCCCGGGACAGCGGGAAGCTGGGGCTGCCGGGAGGAGCACTGAGAACACAGAAGCAGGGGGGTCCTGAGGGCAGCGCCCACCCGGGCTGCACCCCCTCCAGGGGGAGCCCCGCCAGCAAAGGGGGCAAGCGGGGGGGACCAGAGGCACCTGCAGCCCCAAAGATGCAAACCCTCTCCTCTCCTCTCGAGGACGACCACGCTGGGTGCGGCCCTCGGACCCCAACCGCCCAGCTCAGGGCGCCAGTCACCTGCCACACACTGACCCGCCACACAAAGACCCTCAAGGACCTTTAACAGCAGGTTCCAAACACTGCAAAGCTGAGAGAAGCGGAAGCTCCCCTTTAAGAGGGTTAGAATCAACCCGTGAGCAACAGAGCTGGGGCTGCTGCGGCCTCCACAGCGGATGGGGGAGGGCCAGCAGGACACGCGGGACAGACCCAGGATGAGCAGGACCTCAGGCCCCTGGGAGGCCTCTGTTTTTCCCACTGGCTTCAACAGCTGACAATTTTAGATAAAAATAACTTTCTCAATCAATTAGGAAGTACCAGAAATCCTAATCGCACGTCCCCCACTTGCCTGCCCCAGGACGGACGTGAGGTGCAAGGACACGCCTGCCACAGAGAACCCAACACCACGCGTGCACCAAGCCAGGGAGGGGCTCTGAGCCCACCCGAGGCCCCGGCCCCTCCATGTGGACGAGGAGACGCAGGGCGGGAGGAAGAAGGGGCAGCCTCGCGGAGAGATACTCCCCGCTGCCTGGTCTCCTAACCCCGGGCACGGCGACAGGTGCCAGCGCAGGGCCCAAAACCCCAGGGAGCCCACACGGCCCGCCTGCCCGCCACCCCCTCCGGGCCCCAGAGCGACAGCAACGAGGGTTGTACAGACAGAGCCCAGCCGTGGCGAGGAGGGGGGGGGGCCTGGCTTGGGGCTGGCCAGCTCCCCTCCAGAGAGGCCCCGGGCACAGAGCCCCGCGTACCAGGACAGGACAGCCTGGCTGGGACACACCCCGAAGCCTCGTCCACACGGCCAGAGCCTGCACCGGGGCCCCACGTGAACGCTGCGGAGGGGGACTCACGGGGCGTGAAGCACAACGGTGCACCGAGCTAGGGCCCTGGGACGGAGGAGGGGGAGCAGGAGCCAGAGGTCAAGGGGGGATCGGGAGAAACCTCAGCTGCCCCCAAGCGGCAAGGAAAAGCCTGAGGAACACCTGCTTCCAGGGAGGCGCGAGGCGGGCGGCCAGGCCCCGTTCTCCTGAGAGCCCGACCCCCGAGGGCAGGCCCGCGGCCCTCGCAGCTCAGCCCCGGCCATCCAAGAGGCGGACAGAGCCGTGACCGTGAGCGACAAGGCCGGCTCCCTGCAAGCATGCACCTGTCCAGCAGGACACGTCGCCTCCGCACACGGCAAGCGTACAAAGCAGGCCCGTCACTGCGGTGGAAGGCGGGCCACACACCGAGCGTGTTTCAACAAGACTCCGGCCACCGCGCTGCCCGCTCCATGTAAATTGCTGAGTCCCGTGAAATTAAAACAGTATCAGAGTTGGCGGCTCTGTGGGCTTAAACCCGCGGGAACAGAAGGTGCCCATCTCACGTGAATTCCACAGGAGCGCACAAACACTACGCGCATGCACACGCGTACTGGAAGACACGCACGTTCGTATGGTTTTTTTTTTTTTTTTTTTATGATAGTCACAGAGAGAGAGAGAGGCAGAGACACAGGCAGAGGGAGAAGCAGGCTCCACGCACCAGGAGCCCGACGTGGGATTCGATCCCGGGTCTCCAGGATTGCGCCCTGGGCCAAAGGCAGGCGCCAAACCACTGCGCCACCCAGGGATCCCCGTTCATATGGTTCTTGCCGTGCCTCCCCCCACCCGAACCCTGCCCCAGCTGGGGCCGGGGCCGCACAGCCCCGTGGGGACCGTCTGTCCTCCGGCCACGCTGCGCCCCAAATGAAACCACAGGGTGCCGTTCTCCGGAGAACCCGGAGAGAAATCAAAGCCTACGTGAGAAGTGTTTTGGATAATCAAGTGGCTTCTCTTCATCTTCAAAGAGCATGACACGCACTAATTAGCCTCCACACCACCCTGTGAGGTAAGAGGCTTGTTATTTCCCTTCCACAGGCGGGGAGCACGGAGCAGGGCCTTCACCTCCGCCTGGGGTCACGGGTGTCGCTACAGGCTGTCCCGAGGCTCGGGACTGGCCCACAGCAGATCGGCCTCCCTTAGGGCAGCGAAGCACCCAAGGGCACAGCCAACACACCCTGCAGCCCAGGACGTGCGTTTCTGGTACATCCTGCCCTTGGAGAAGCGACAGCCGCTCTACCTGGACACTCCCTTTATTGACTTAGACTTCAGGCAAAACCAGAGAGGCCTCGGCGTCTCGCCTCACACACGCACTCAGCGCCAGGGACAGGATCACTTGGTTTTTAAGGTTTCCAGCAAAACGGCTTCTCCTTTAACGAGAGCTGTGCTTTCATCAAGGAGAAGGGACCTTCGTGGTGAAGAGGGCACACGGTCGTAACCGGCGAAGAGGAGAGTGTTTTACTGCCACTGAGCACACCTGCCCGGTGTTCCCCCCACCTCGCAGCCATACAGGGCACGCACGGAAGGAAACCCCACAGCACCAGTCAGTCCTCGGCCCTTCGATCTGGGCAGTGGAAGCCAGGATGGCCCGGCTATCAATAAGGAAGCACACATAGCGTATTTTCAACTTTTCATACTTGGTTTTCCTTCTCTGAACTTTCTCAATTTGCAATAATCCAATTGCTTAAAGTACGACTAAACCCGAGGACCTTCGAGGGATAGGAAACTGCCAGACTCCAGTCCCCCCCATCCCCCTACAAGAGTTAAAATTCATCGCTGCAAGAGGAACATGCTTCCAGGAAAATAAAGTCAAACCCTAGTTTCGATGGTGCTCGTTACGAGTTCACCTGTTTTGCCTAACACACTAATGAACAGGTGGATAGAAATGAAGCCAAGTGCATCAAAGGAGACAGATGAAATCCGAAAGCACAATACACCTGCAAGTTTCATCATGCACAGCGGACGCCCAGCCTCTGCTGTGCAGGTCTGACGAGCTCATGGCGAAACCTGCTCCCTGCTCGGGAGAGCCCAGCACCCACACCACTTCCTCCTGCCCAGGCGGCATCAGCAGTAATTACACCAAACCACCCCTTTGAAAAGGAAAAAGAGAAAAGGAAACAAGACGTGTGATTCCAGAAAGACCTAGGGGCTGCAGAAGGCTCCGGGAGGCTGGACCCTGCGGGCGGCCGCTTCCCAGCAATCCCATTCACTCTCCTCCCTGGGGTCTGGGCTGCCCTGTCAGGCCGTCGCCCACCTTGCTGAGGGCACGCCTCTCCGGGCAGTGAGGAGCAGCTGCCAACGCTGCTTCACTGCCCTGCTGGGCGGATGGGGTGGGAGCTCTTGGGAAAAATCTCCCTGTTCCTCAGGAAGGAGAACAAGAGAACTTCTCCTAAGTGTGGAGCCTGGAGACGTCCCGGGCACTACCCCACTCCTGGCTGGCTCTCCCCACTGAGGAGAATGCTGACCCAGGCCCATAGCTGGCGGGACAACACACGGGGCCTGCCTTTCCCACACCAGCCCTGGGTTTTGCCACCAAAGGCATGCGTCTCCCACCTAGGAACAAGAAACAGAAAACCTGGGAACAATCTAGAGACAAACAACACAATCATCAAAAATTTTTTTAAAAAATAAAAAGACCCAGGGCGGAGCAATTGCAGAACTGGACAAATAGGGGTCCCCATGTCCTTCTCAAGCCTTCAGTAAGAGCACCAGCGCCCCAAGGACCTGACCCGGGGCCAAGTGAGCCATCGGGAGCTCTCGCAGGTGGCTTGAGCGCCCAGGCCTACCACCGTGTCTTCTGGGAAAGCTGCCTCCTCGCCGCCAGCCCAGGCAGGAGCCACACAGGCCTCACCTGCCTGCAGGTCCCTGGGGCGGTCACGGAAGGCTCCGGCCCTCCAGGCTAGGCGCCCTGCTGGCCCAGCTGCCCCTGTGCACACACACGCAGCCGTGGCTCCTGGAGGGGTGGCTTTTGGGCAAGGGCTACAGGAGACCCTGGGAGCCGGTCCCAAATGCAAATTCCCAACTGAGCAAAGAAAGTCTAAAATAGGACCATACCCGCAAGAGGAAGCTAGGTCGCCTGTGCCTACTCCTGCGCCCACACTCAGGTGGGTCTAGCATTCCGCCCTGCAGGCCACAGCCGACTGACAGGCCCCAGCTACATTTTGTCAGACCTTCCAATTGTTTCTCCATGACCTAAGACTTCTCAATGTGACTCACAGCAAAAAATGAAGAATCCACTTACACCCAAACCTTCACATAAAACAGCTCTGCTGTTCGCCCATCCTTTACCAGAATTAGCTAAAACATAAAGGCGCTCCCCCAGGATTCAGGCGACGAGAGCCTGTGTCTCGCATGTCCCCCCCATCCACATCCACGTTCAGCGCCCTCTCAGGCCAGCCTCGCCCCGCACTGACTCCCATTACAGCAATTACACTGACAATCCCAATAAAACCCTCTGTAAGCACCACCTCCACACACAGCTAGAAGGAAAGCCACCTGAGGGCACAGGCCACGCGTCTACACAAGCTGATACACCATGTCTCATCGATGTAACAGGGGTGCAGCCATGAGAAAAATTAAGATCTCAAAAACAGAAAATACTTAAACTGTTAAAGAAAAAGCTATTGTTTCATACCCAAAGGGAACTAGAATATACGCTCCAACAAAAAGCTGCACGCAGGGATCCCTGGGTGGCGCAGCGGTTTGGCGCCTGCCTTTGGCCCAGGGCGCGATCCTGGAGACCCGGGATCGAATCCCACGTCGGGCTCCCGGTGCATGGAGCCTGCTTCTCCCTCTGCCTGTGTCTCTGCCTCTCTCTCTCTCTGTGACTATCATAAATAAATAAAAATTAAAAACAAAAAAAAAACAAAAAAAACAAAAAAAAAAAGCTGCACGCAGAAGTTTAAGTTAGCCCCACTCCCAACAGCTAGGAATACCCAGACAGTGGACTACCAGTGGGCGTGAAAAGGAATGAATTACTGACCTAAGCCACAACATGGCTGAACTCCGGAAACATGATGCTAAGTGACGAAGGTCACTTGTTGTACAATTCCATTTATGCAAAATGTTCAAAACGAGCAAATCCACAGAGATGGAAACTAGATTAAGGTTTGCAGAGGGGGAATGGGGAGTGACTGTTAATGGGTGTGCAGTTTCCTTTAGCGGTGATGAGAATATTCTGGAATTAGATCGTGGTGATGGGTGTGCAACCTTGTCCATAAACAAAATCATCACTGAATTATACACTTTAAAAAAGGGGATTACTTATGGTATGTGAATTATCTTGGTTTTTTTTTTTTTAAGATTTGAGAGAGAGCACGCATGAGCATGTACATGCACGCACACATGCACGTCCAAGAGAGGAGAGAAGCAAAGAGAGAGCAAGGAGGAGAGATGCAGACTCCCCGTGAGCGCGGGTTCCCAACACAGGTTCAACTCCATGACCCAGGAGATCACAATCTGAGCCAAAATCAAGAGTTGGACGCCCAACTGGCTGAGGCACCCTGGCACCCATCTCTCAATATTTTTGAAAACCTAGTGCACAACCTATCACGTTCATACACAGAATGGAACAAAGCGTGAAAAAAGCAGCACCTCAACGGACCACAGGAATTCAGCATATGTTCTATTTTTCCAAGTTTCTTTATAAAATGTCCTAAAATACTCCCATCAACTGAAAAGGCTGGCCTTCCCAAAGACAACAGCAGCAGGGGTGGAAAGAAACAGACGCCGAGAACATTCCCGAGAGAGGCCAGGCAGTTTGTGCCCTAAGCGCCCGGGACAGGGAGCGCAGGGAGAGGGCTTTCCCCAGGCCCCGTGGCCGACCCGGCGCTCACCTCCCCTCCCACAGCTGGGCCCACTGCCCCGGGTGATAACTTTCCGCTGGCCCTCACGGCTTCCTACACCTCGTCCCACCCGGCAACAGCCGACACACAGGACAACACCCAAGAAAATGTCACGCTGAGTCATGGGTCCAAACGCCTCCATTTAAAGGCAGTCCAAAATGCCTTGCCCTCCAGAAAGTAGGCCATGGGCCTCTACAGCTCCAGAAACAAGGCCAAGAACCAAGTTTCACCCGCTGCACTTAAAGAGCAAAGAGGAGGCACCGTGCCCACGACACCCAGACCACGAGGGCCTGGGCAGCTGCCCCTCTGCTGGGAACGTCCTCCTCATCAGCACTAAAAAGACGACACAACAGACAGAAGGAGCAGGAGGTGGGCACCAAGCAGCGCGCTCTGGGCGGGTGCCGTTGTGTATTTAACACACTTTTACTAACATCCTAACCCGAGCAGCTGAACAAAAGCAAATTTCAAATCACCTGCCTTACTTCATCAGAGCTGGTTCCAATAATTACACTCTAACACGATTACACAGCAGGAACCCCCGGAGGGTGTGCCCCGCCCGCCCGCCCGCTCTGTGGACACTGCCGCCCCCTGGTGGCGACGCGCCAGGTGACGGACCGCGCTGCTGGGGTTAATGGTCTCCCTATGCTCGGCCTATTTCAGAATGGACTCCAAGGTGAGCACAACTTGCCCCCCGCCCCGCCCGGGCAGTGTTTACCAGGGCCTGCAGCGTCCCGTCCATGGCAATGACCCCCTCGATGGTCTGGAAGGAGGAGCGGGCCAAGGTGTGCAGGCTCCAGTCCAGGAAGCCGGCCATCTTCTTCTGCTTGACATCAGGCCGTGTGACAAACCTGCCAGAAGGACGCAAACAGGCAGGGTGAGCGCTCAACCACGGCCCCAAATGAGGAGAGCTCCCCCTCTGCGGCCCACCGTGTCCTCCCACCGAGAGGAGTCTTCGCACCAGGACGTCTGTTCTCCGCACGGTGGATTACATCCTCCTTTCAGGACACGCTCTCCGGGGCGCTCTCCGATCTAAAATACCAGACACCCAGACCACGGCCCTCTCTGAGGTCATGTGCCGGTCCCCCACCCCCGTCTCCTCCCTGCTGGGCTCGCACTCCTCCTGAGGCCCCCTACGCCGCAGGACCACGTTTACCTGGCCCCAACACTACCAGGAACCCCGAACCCCACCAACACCTACGACTCAGCCCTTCCCTTCGCCTCAGGACACTGGACCGCCTCGTACAGCAAAGCCTGGCCCCAGGCCCCAGGCCCCTCTCCCTGCGCCTGCCCTGGGTCTCCCTTCCCCATTCCCTCCACCCTAGGCTGCACAGCCCCTTGCAGAGCCCACACCCGCTCAGCTCGGCACTCTCTGGACGTTCAGATGGTACGTGCTAGATCCTGCGCGCTCTCTCACACTCCTGGTCTAGGCCAGCAGCCACCCCCCATCCCCCACACCAAACCGGCCTCAGCTGACTCGGGGGCTCAGGTTGAGCCCATGCTCTCCTTGGGAAGCTTCCACTCTCGAGACAGAAACACGGGAAACAGGCAAAGAACATGAAGAGACAGACGGGGGGAGACGTGCAGCCTCCCAGAGGGCCCAGAGACACCGTCCCAAGGACACATGGGACCGGAGAGCATCAGGAGAGAGGACCTCACTCCCTTCACCTGCCCCCCCACAGAACACGCTTGGCGGGACCCTGCACTTAATGCCGTGCAAACCCGTTTTACGACACGCTGGTCCGCTTCTCCCCCGTGTTGGCACCACATACATCACGGCCCGCTCCAGAGCCGTGGTTCTGGCACCTGCCTCAGCATCCTTGCGGGAAGCTCTCATCCAACCACAAGCCCTCCCACCTCAGGGCCCTCTCTTCCCTCAGAACGGCCACGGCCCAGTGTATCAGACGATGCTCAGCCAGTGCAGTTCCATGCAGCCCATTCTGGAACACTCGGAGAAGCTGCCTGCCCAGCACCTGGCAAACCGGCAGGAGCATTTTTAATGCATTGAAAACCAGCCTCAACCACACGAACTGCGTACTCGTCCCGACCACTAGGTGGTGCCGGAGAGTCCTGCCGAGTGGTTCCGTGTGTCCCCAGGTCACCTTTCCCGGAGGACATCAGGGCAGGACCACAGGGCAGGGCCTCAGCAACCCAGGCCCCAGATGCCATGGTCCACAGAGTCAAACTCAGCATCGCTGTACCAAACCCTCAGGACTGCTGGTAATAATAAATAATAAAAACATTGTTTTTTCCGTTTAACAAATTTGGCAAATGTGTTAGAATCACACATAGTACTGATAAAAGTATGGGGAAGAGATAACCTTGCCAGTTAATTGCACTTAAAACCCCTAAAATGGGAATCCCTGGGTGGCTCAGCGGTTTAGCGCCGCCTTCAGCCCAGGGCATGATCCTGGAGTGCCCGGTTCGAGTCCTGCGTCGGACTCCCTGCATGGAGCCTGCTTCTCCCTCTGCCTGGATCTCTGCCTCTCCCTCTCTCTCTCTCTCTCTCTCTCTCTCTCTCTCTGTCTCTCATGAATAAATAAATAAATCTTAAAAAAAAAAAAAAAAACCTAAAATGTCCGTTCCCCTTCCAGGAATTCACCCCTAAGAATCAATCAGAATGGTCCAAAGTTTTACGTAAAACGTTCACGATGACATTGACTTTGCTAACAATCTGCAGAGCAGCAGTCGCACGTCCCGTAGGGGACTGGAGAAACAGTAACAGATTCACACCATGATCGTGTTTTGGAAAAAGACTGAATGAAGCTCCAGGCCCATCTGTTGGCACCTGGTACAACAATAATGTTCCCCAACGTGCCCACGGACAGAAGGACAAAAAACAGAAGCAGTTACGTCTCTGGGAGACGACAGTACACGTGGAGTTTGTACTTTATATTTTATTTTCCAAAACACGTGATTACTCTTACAATTAAAAAGAAACTCATTTTTTTAATCACAAGGAACCTCGGTCCAGTGAGCACCTCCCTCCCCTCAGGTGAAGCAATGCAGGTGGGCTCACGTGTTCCCCCCCCCCCCAAAATCAGTTCTACACAAGCTCTGCCCTGTGGCACAGGAAGTGCTTGCACAAACACCTCAGCCAGGGCCCCACCGCCCTACAAACAAAGGGTTTCTCTCTTTTTTTAAGATTTTATTTAAAAAAAATTTTTTTAATTTACTTATTTATTCATGAGAGACACAGAGAGAGGCAGAGACGCAGGCAGAGGGAGAAGCAGGCTCCATGCCAGGAGCCCGAGGGGGGACTCGATCCCGGGATCCCAGGATCACACCCTGGGCCAAAGGCAGGCACTAAACCGCGGAGCCACCCGAGCTGCCCCCAAGGGTTTCTCTTACCACTTTGTGTAAGGTCACGGCTACACCTAGGTACAAGGGGACCCTGAATGAGATGTTACCCACTTTCCCAATCAAAATATCCAAAAGTTTTCACAGTCCATTTCAACTTTCACAAATATAGAGTGGGGAAAAGCCAAATTTTCTAATTTATTTACTCTATATGCTTATTTTAAGTCACCCATTCTACAAAAGATTAATTTAGGAAAACTGCTTTCTGGGATGCCTGGTGGCTCAATGAGTGAAGCGTCCACCTTCAGCTCAGGTCATGATCCCAGGGTCCTGGGATGGAGCCTGGGCTCCCTGCTCAGTGAGGAGTCTGCTTCTCCCTCTGCCCCTGCCCTGCTTATGTGTTCTCTCTCTCTCTGTTTCTCAAATTAATAAAATCTTTAAAAAAAAAAAAAACAGCTTCCTTCCATTCTCACATTTTCTGGAACAAGTTTACACAGCTCTCACGTACAGCTTTGATGTTCTGCAGAGACGCCAAGGCCACTGGGTCAGCTTACCCAGCTCATCAGACAAAGCCATGTTCACCTGTTTGAGGCACAGTCTGTTTTTTAGTCAACAGAGAATGTGTGCGGGTTTCTATCCCAAGCCACAGTGATCCAATCAAGCTCATGATCTCCATAAACCACAGCGTTAACTGCTTTCTAAGTGACCTTTAGAGACTCATCTAAGCGCCACCACCCCAAAGCTGAGGCCCTGCCCACGTATAACCGCTACACCTGTTCTGAACGTGCACTGTTGATGGGCCTGTCGGCTGACCTCCAAAGCCCCAGACCACACTGTCGGGTTCGGACGTCTCTGCAGCTTCCTCAAAAGAGAGAGACGAGCAACGGGCAGTAGCAAAGACTTCCCAGGCCACAGGCCCGTCAGCCAGTGTCCTCCTCCAAGGTAACACAGAAACACAGGGAACACGGAAGAGGACGGAAGACAAACCCTCTCAGAGCACACTAGTCACATATCAAGCAACGCAGCTGGCAGCGGCCGAGAGGTACTCACTTGGACACGAGGACAGCGGCTGCATCTCGGGCCTTGTCACTGACAACCAGGTAGGCCTACAAGGATAAAGGACAGGCCCCGTTACACACACCATGTAAATCTCGGGGACCTGCTCACCAGCCAGTCCCACACGCGGCAGCCCCCAGAGAACCCAGAATGAAGCTTCTAGGCAGAGGCCACTTTCCAAAGCTGCACAAACCACCCCTAAACTGGAACCACAGTCACCAGCAGCTGCCGAGTGCTGTGCTCACCACAGGGCAGGTGCCCAGCTGCACACGGCATGTGGCCAGACCCCTTGAAACACCTGTCACGCGGCTATCACAGGGAATCACAGGGGCACCTGGGTGGCTCGGGCGGTCGAGTGCCCGACTCAGCAGGGAGACCGCTTGAGGTTCTCTTCCCTCTCCCTCTGCTCCTCCTCCTGCTCATATTCTGTGTGTGTGTGTGTGTCTCTCTCAAATAAATCTTTAAAAAAAAATCCTAAAAAAAAAAAAAAAAAAAATCCTAGCATCCATGAAGCACACGTGGGACCTGCCAATACATGAGTATGCAGTTGGGAGGCCCCACTCAAACAGAGGACCACCCAGGGTCAAAACAAAATAACTATTTTTTATTCAGAAGCCTGCCTTAAGTCTCCAATTCTCACCTCCACTTTTTTCCAAATGATCCACAAAATATCTTTTTTCTGGGGGACAATCACATACCCAGTGCCAAACCCTTAGGAACATACAGCCACTCACCTGACTGTCCCATTTACACGACAAATACACAAAGGGTGTATGTAAAGGTGCTTCATCACCATACTACTTCTCACAGAATTAGAAACAAACTAAATGTCCATCTACAAGAGAATTTTGTTTAAAGATTTATCGATGGGACAGCCGGGGTGGCTCAGCAGTTTAGCGCCGCCTTCAGCCCAGAGCCTGATCCTGGGGTCCCGGGATCCAGTCCCGTGTCAGGTTTCCTGCAGGGAGCCTGCTTCTCCCTCTGCCTGTGTCTCTGCCTCTCTCTCTCTCTCTGTGTGTGTGTGTGTGTGTGTGTGTGTGTGTCTCATGAATAAATAAATAAAACCTAAAAAAAAATAAAAGAAAATAAAGACTTATTGATGGACTGATCTGAGCGAGAGCATGCACATCCACGCGTGGGGGGAGGGGACAGGGGCAGAGGAGAGGGAGCATCTGCAGTGGACCCCACACTGAGCACAGCACCTGACGCAGGGCTCCATCTAATGACCCTGACTGAGATCACGGCCTGAGCCAAAACCAAGAGTCTGACACTCAACCGACTGTGCCTCCCAGGCGCCCCAAGAGAATATCTTTAAAATTAGGGTTCAGTGGAGCACCGTTTCCCTTCAAGATTATGAGAAGACATCTACTCACTGACAAAACGCCAGGGAAAAAGCAGTTCGCAGAGCAGCAGGACACCGAGGGCACGTGCACAGAGTGAGCAGCTCAGGATCAAGAAGCAAACTTCCTGGCTTCAAATCTGATCTACCACTGACCATAAAGTGAACCAGCTAAGTTACTTTTTTAAACTATCGCCCCCTCAGTAAAATGAAGATAAAAAGAGTTAGCCATTGGGACACCTGGGGGCTCAGTGGCTGAGCATCTGCCGTTGGCCCAGGTCGTGATCCCAGGGTCCTGAGACGGAGCCCACATGAGGGTCCCTGCTTGGCGGGGAGTTGGGTTCTCCCCGACCCCTCCCCTCCCCTCATGCTCTCTCTCGCTGTCTCAAATAAGTAAATAAAATCTTTTAAAAAGCATTGTTTTTTAAAAGAAAAAAAAGGAAACTAAAAAAATTAAAAACAAAAAAAAAAGTAAACTGCTCCATTCAGTAGAATTATGTGAGTCATCACACAAAAGATGATTAGAACAGTGTCTAGCACATAGCAGACACTCAACAGACACCCGACCACTAGTGTTCACACCTCGTGGAACCCGTCCTGTGTGGGCTGGACACAGTGACATGCTTCTAACCAAGAATGTGGCAAGGGGTAGGACGCCACTTCTGTGACTTGATAACACATCATGGTGACTTCTGTCTTGCCAGCAGACCCTGCCCTCTGCCAGCTTCAAGGGAATATGCTGCCATGTTAAGGGGGCCACATGGCAAGGAACAGCCAGCAAAGAACTCTTGGTCCAACACCCTCAAGGGTCTGGCTTATGCCAATTACCCCGACAACGGGAAAGCAAGCCTTACTCTGGACGAGTTTTGACTTCAGCTGGAGAGACCTGGATGCAGACTGCCCAAATTCCTGACCCGCAGAAACTATGAGATAATAAGTGTGTGTTGTGTTAAACCACTGAAGTTTGGGGTAATACAAATACTATGCACATAGACAAATTACTACCTCACAAAAAGTATGAAAAAATATATAAGGGTTATTATTCCTCAGCACTAGAATTTGAGGGACTTTGACTTTTTTTTTTTTAAGATTTTATTCATGAGAAACACAGAGAGAGAGGTAGAGACACAGGCAGAGGGAGAAGCAGGCTCCATGCAAGGAGCCCGACGTGGGACTCGATCCTGGGTCTCCAGGATCAGGCCCTGGGCTGAAGGAGGCACTAAACTGCTGAGCCACCCAGGCTGCCCCAGGGACTTTGATTTAGCATCTTTCTTGCTTTGCTTTATTTTCTCATTTTTCTACGCAGATCATGTATTATTTATACAACATTAAAAATTAAAAACCAAAAAAATAATAAAATTAAAAACCAAATTTTAAACGGACCTTTAGGGGATCCCTGGTGGCTCAGCGGTTTGGCACCTGCCTTTGGCCCAGGGTGTGATCCTGGAGTCCTGGGTTCGAGTCCCACATCAGGCTCCCTGCATGGAGCCTGCTTCTCCCTCTGCCTGTATCTCTCTCTGCCTCTCTCTGTGTCTCTCATGAATAAATAAATAATCTTTTTTAAAAAATAAAAATAAAATGGACCTTTATTTTCTCTTACAACTGCCCCGAGATCTCTCATATGTCATTACTGCGATTAGCAGACGATTTGCACTACCTACGAAGAATTGAGATCTGCTAAGTAACTCCTCCTCTCCCCTATATGAATTATCATCACACTTTCAAAATAGGTTAGGAAATGGAATTTTACCTCACTGAAAAAACAGTAACAGCAGTCAAAGAAACATAAGTGTTAAAAGTGTGGCTAATTAAACTCTAATATCAAGATAGCATGAGAATGAAAAAGAACACTAACTAGCAGCTAATGACGTGCCTGATCACAGTTACCTCTGCTATTTGGAGAATGCGATCCATTATGGACATTCGCGTCTGTCCAGGTTGCGTAAGGAGGTTCCCATCCAGGCGTGAAAAATCAAAAGGGATCAAGCAGGTCACAGAGAGCCACAGTAACAGCATGTAGCGCGTCTCCCAAGTCTAAGAAGTTAAATCAAAGTAAAACGGCTGCTGCACGAAGGACAGAGGTAGCCCGTAGGCCCCGCTCACAGTCCTCCCGCCCTCCCCGCCCCTCGATGCCACCACAGGCCCGTCAGGTGCGGTCCACTCAGAGCCTGGAGCACAGACCCTCACGAGCTGCTCCCGGTCTCCCCTGTACCCCCCGCCCACACCCGCCGTCAGACAGCCCGTTACCTCCGCAGACGAAACAAACAGCAAAACGAACAAAGCAAAAGCACAACATGCCAGTCTAATGGCTCCTCCTGGCTGGCACCCTTCAGCGCACAATCAGCAGATTGAGAAAGTGAAAAAAGATGGAGAACAAAAGACTTCAGAATAAAAACTATCCTCAACTTCCAGTCAAAGAGGAGTGCCCTTATTTTAGGAGGTCAGCAAAACAAGACTCCACTTCGGCCCTGGGATCACGCATCCGGGCACGAGAAGCAGGGGAGAGTTGGGGAAATGCTCACCCGCGCCTTCAACAGAGATCGGGCGCGTTCACAGACAACTCACTGGTGTGCAACTGCGAACTGTGTGCTCCTCGGAACGCACGCTGTGTGAAAGAATGCTAACAAGGCTGGCCACCAGTGGGCCTCTGGAAACCTGGATCTCAGGAGGCTTCCCACCATTCCCTGAGGAGGAGGACGCCCTGTGCCTGGGCCACTTGTACAAACCCCGTGGCTTATGTCAAAACCTGCTGTCCTTCTGGGAGTCTGGCGTTTCAGTCCATGCTTGGCAGAGTACCCACGTGACCAGCCCCCAAGAAAAATCCTGCACGCCAGCCTCTATGACCTTCCCTGGTGGACACTTCATAGGTGCCATCACAACTCGGTGCCAGGAGAACTTACAAGTGACCTAACTGGGATAAAACCCTAGAAGCTTCCTTCTGGGTTTCTCCAAACTTCCCCCCATATACCTTTCCCTGTGCTGATTTTGCTACTAATCAGTCACAACCATTAAGAACAACTCCACGCGGGGGCAGCCCTCGGTGGCTCAGCGGTTTAGCGCCACTTCAGCCCAGGGCGTGATCCTGGAGACCCAGGATCGAGTCCTACGTCAAGCTCCTTGCATGGAGCCTAATTCTCCCTCTGCCTGTGTCTCTGCCTCTCTCGCTCTCTCTCTCTGTGTCTCTCATGAATGAGTAAAATATTTTTTTTTGAATAAGTAAAATACTTAAAAAAAAAAAAAAAAAAGAACTCCACGTAGAGTCCTACAGTGGTCCCAGGGAATCATCAAACCGGGGATGGTCCTGGAAACCCCTGAAGTAGTTTTATTTCAATTTTTAAAAATGTGAAAAGTTAAAGAAAAAAAAGAAGGGTTGACATAGTTATCACTACACTGTATGTAGGCATATTGTTTTTCTTCATAAAGAGTATATTTTAAAAGGAATTAATTTAAAGTAACAAAAAGAAAAAGGCAAAAGAATAAAAAAGAGAGTGATACAAAGCAGCAGAAGTTCAAATTGAAGGAAACAGGAAGATGAACCTGCCAGTCAGGAGTGGAGCAAACAAGGGAAGGAAGGAAGGACGTGACTGGGAATGAAAAGGAGAATAAAGACACTCACCTCATGGTCTCTGGGATTCTGATTTGTAAACATATCTAAAACAGGCTGTACGTTGGCTACTTCATGAGGAAATAAACGAAGAAATGTTTTATATCCTCGAACCTACCAGGTTAAAAAAACATTATTACATAATTAGAAAACACAGAAAACAGCAAAATTATATTTTTCTCTATCATCAAAGATCACCACCTATTCCACGCGGTGATCAAAGAGAATTATATCACATTACAGCGATATAACTTGTTAAGAATAAACAGGAAAGCCTAAATAAAAAAAAAATTAAAAAAATTAAATAAGAGATCCCGGGTGGCTCAGCGGTTTGGCGCCTGCCTTTGGCCCAGGGCGCGATCCTGGAGACCCGGGATCGAATCCCACGTCGGGCTCCCGGTGCGTGGAGCCTGCTTCTCCCTCTGCCTGTGTCTCTGCCTCTCTCTCTCTCTCTCTCTCTCTCTGTGTGTGACTATCATAAATTAAAAAAAAAAAAACAAGAAAGCCATTTTGCTTCTTATATCATTTCATAAACGTTTGTTCTGACTTAACACCTTTTATATGTGCTTCATCAAAAATAGAGATACATGGGACACCTGGGTGGCTCAGCAGTTGAGCATCTGCCTTTGGCCCAGGGCGTGACCCCAGGGTCCCAGGATCGAGTCCTGCACTGGTCTCCCCGCAGGGAGCCTGCTTCTCCCTCTGCCTGTGTCTCTGCCTCTCTCTGTGTCTCTTGTGAATAAATAAATAAAATATTTAAAAATCTATACAAAACCACAATGAGATCCCACCTCACCCCAGTGAGAATGGGGAAAATTAACAAGGCAGGAAACAACAGATGTTGGAGAGGATGTGGAGAAAGGTGAGTCCTCTTGCACTGTTGGTGGGAATGTGAACTGGTGCAGCCACTCTGGAAAACTGTGTGGAGGTTCCTCAAAGAGTTAAAACTAGACCTGCCCTACGACCCAGCAATTGCACTGCTGGGGATTTACCCCAAAGATACAGATGCAGTAAAACGCCGGGACACCTGCACCCGGATGTCTCTAGCAGCAATGTCCACAATAGCCAAACTGTGGGAGGAGCCTCGGTGTCCATGGATAGAAAAAAAAAAAAAAAAAAAGATGGATAGAGAAGCTGTGGTCTATGTGTACAATGGAATATTCCTCAGCTGTTAGAAACGACAAATACCCACCATTTGCTTCGACGTGGATGGACCTGGAGGGCATGATGCTGAGTGAAGTAAGTCAATCGGAGAAGGACAAACATTATATGGTGTCATTCATTTGGGTAAAATAAAAAATAGTGAAAGGGAATAAAGGGGAAAGGAGAAAAAATGAGTGGGAAATATCAGAAAGGGAGACAGAACATGAAGACTCCTAACTCTGGGAAACGAACTAGGGGTGGTGGAAGGGGAGGAGGGCGGGGGGTGGGAGTGACCGGGTGGCGGGCACTGAGGGGGGCGCTTGATGGGATGAGCACTGGGTGTTATTCTGTATGTTGGCAAATTGAACACCAATAAAAAATAAATTTATAAAAAAAAAAAGACTTAAAATTTCAAAATATATATATACACACATATAGATATGTTACAAACTAGAAAGTTTTGCTTTCACCTTGTTTATACAAGTGCCCTCTGACACTCAGGAGACTAAGTCCTCAAAAACTCAAAGGTCCCCAAAGTCACTATGGCTTCCATAAACGCAGTGCTACACCACCAGAAGGGACCCTGCACTCAAACCACCTGAGCCACAGAGAAGTAAGCCCACGGCAGCCCACCACGAAGCCCTCTCACTGGCCAAGGACCTCTCCTCACCACACAGCAGGCACTACTATACCGCGCAGCCCATCAAAACCCACCCGAGATGGTTCTGAGTCACTCCCATGGTTAAAACTGCAATTGAAAAAAAAAAAAAAAGGGGGATCCCTGGGTGGCGCAGCGGTTTAGCGCCTGCCTTTGGCCCAGGGCGCGATCCTGGAGACCCAGGATCGAATCCCACGTCAGGCTCCCGGTGCATGGAGCCTGCTTCTCCCTCTGCCTATGTCTCTGCCTCTCTCTCTCTTTCTCTCTGTGACTATCATAAATAAATAAAAAAAAAACAAAAAAAATTAAAAAAAAAAAAAACTGCAATTGGCTGGGGCGCCTGGGTGGCTCAGCGGTTAGGCGTCTGCCTTTGGCTCAGGGCATGACCCCAGGGTCCCGGATCGAGTCCCACATCGGGCTCCCTGCATGGACCCTGCTTCTCCCACTGCCTGTCTCTGCCTTTCTATCTGTGTCTCTCATGAATAAAATCTTAAAAAAAAAAAATTGCAATTGGTGATGTCTGCAGGTCAGCACTGGCCTATCACCTGGGAGTCTCTAAGAATGCAGATTACCACACTCCACTCCAGACCTGCTTACTCAGAATCTGCCTTGTTAACAAGATCCCCAGGAAATTCACCTACACATTAAAGTTTGATAAGCACTTCCATTTTCACCAAACTTGCCCACTTTTTCCTTGTAAGAAACTCCTAATTAGTCATCTCTCTCTCCCCGTCTCCCTCCTCTCTTCCCCTCCCCCACTGCCTTTCTAGCTAGGTGCTACCTGATGTATTTCAACGGAAGATGCTAAATATCTCAGACGTGGTTTCAGCCAAAGGACCCCCGATCACTATCACTAACATCCGATCCCTAAAATGTGGTAAAAAAAAAAAAAAAAGAATGAAGCCCACAAATTATGTGTGAGAACCATCTTTCCTGAAAAATAATATTTGGAAGCTAAGTTCTGGACCAAGTATATAAAAAAGTGTCCTGTTGGGGTGCCTGGGTGGCTCAGTCGGTTAGGCATCTGCCTTTGGCTCAGGTCATGATCCCGGGGTCCTGGAATGGAGTGTCAGGCTCCCTCCTCAGAGGGCAGTATACTTGTCCCTCTGCCCCTCCCCCTGATTATGTTCTATGTCAAATAAATAAATAAAAACCTTTTTTTTTTAAAGATTTGATTTACTTATTCATGAGAGACATAGAGGGAAAGAGGCAGAGGCAGAGACACAGGCAGGGGGAGAAGCAGGCTCCATGCCGGGAGCCTGATGTGGAACTCGATCCCGGGACCCTGGGGTCATGGCCTGAGCCAAAGGCAGACGCTCAACCACTGAGCCACCCAGGCGTCCCAATAAATAAAAATCTTTAAAAAAAAAAAAAAAAAGGCAGTGTTCTGTCAACTATAAAGTGCTGTGTGTAAATGTTACCTTGGTGATGATGTAAAGAAATTTAAAAGCCAGGTGCATGAGGTCAGCTGGAGATGTCTTATCTTGCACTATATCCAACAACAAGTTCATCATCCATTCTAGAGAAAAACATACACAAAACATTTACTACAAAATTAAACATAACTATGATATTAAAACAAGATGCCAAAAAAAGGCTTCATATATATGACTGGTTAAGTATCAGTAAACCTATTCGATCTAAGTATCAACAGAGAAAAAGAAGAAAAACATTTTCATCTTAACAGATTCTAGAACATAGAATACACCATTCATTCTTGCTCTTAAAATGCAGGAGAGGGGCTCCTGGGTGGCTGAGTCGGTAAAGCATGCAACTCCTGATGGCAGCCCAGATCATGGTTGTGCGATCCAGCCCCAAGCGGCCTCAGCCCTGGGCAGGGAGTCTGCTTAAGATTCTCTCTCTCGGGTATCCCTGGGTGGCTCAGTGGTTTAGCACCGCCTTCGGCCCAGGGTGTGATCCTGGAGTCCCGGGATCGAGTCCTGCATCGGGCTCCCTGCATGGAGCCTGCTTCTCCCTCTGCCTGTGTCTCTGCCTCTTTCTCTTTGTGTCTCTCATGAATATATAGGTGAAATCTTTAAAAACAGATTCTCTCTGTGCTCGCTTCGGCAGCACATATACTAACACTATACTCTCCCTCTCCCCCTCCCCCCCACTACTTACACATGTGCATTCTCTTTCTCTCTCCAAAAAAGATAATAAAATAAAATAAAGTAAAATGCAGGAGAAATGTTCTTATTTTTAAAAATTACACGATCTCAAATATCTAATACCATGCCTTATAAAAGATACTTCCTACAACTACTAAGATTTAGTGATAAGCACATTCTAACCAATGTAAATAAGGCAGAAAAAAAGGATTTCCACTCCTAGTTATAAAGGAATAGATTATATGGAATTGTTTCACCACCAAAAATTAGAAAACTAGACAAGTATGTGACAAATTTTCAGACACTGGAACAACAGACAGTGCAAGGTAACAAACCAACAGGGATGAACAGCTGCCCAGGGTGTCTGCCAGGAGGTGATTTTTAGAATTCAGTACATGGAGGGGAGGACTCAAACAGAGCAGAGACTAGGGTTCAAGGAGGCTAAGTCAGCTGAAATCTGTAGGACAGAGCAATGAAGAGGAAGGTATGCATTTTCACAAGCACGGGGGGAGCCCACAAGCCCGGGTTAAGAACAACCATCAAAAAGCAGTAAGGTGGGCAGCCCGGGGGGCTCAGCGGTTTAGCACCGTCTTTGGCCTGGGGCATGATCCTGGAGACCCGGGATCGATTCCTGCATTGGGCTCCCTGCGTGGAGCCCGTTTGTCCCTCTGCCTGTGTCTCTGTGTAGCTGCCCCTCTCTCTCTCTCTGTCTCTCGTGAATAAATAAAATCTTTAAAAAAAAAGCAGTAAGGTGAAGAGTTCCCAGCTGACATGGGGCCAACATTCAAATTCCATCAAGTCAGAGTAAAGTCATTGAGCACCCAGAGCAAACAGGAGACGCTCCAGAGAAGTCTTTTCTTAGTAGTGAGGCTAAATTAGAGAAAAAGTGAGAACTGCCCTAACAAAGCTATAAATGGTTTACAATTAACTAAACTGCCTGGCAAATTTGAGCACTCTCTAAAGACAAAAAATGTAAAACCACCATCATCATAATACAATACCCTTAATCCACTCAAAAATTTTAAGACATGTGGCTGTCTAAAAAGTTACTGTGACTCCTAATGGAGGAAATCAGTCAACAGAAATTCCCCAAAGATATAAACTTTATTTTTTTTTTTTTCAGATTTTATGTATTCACTCATGAGAGACACAGAGAGAGAGGCAGAGACACAGGCAGAGGGAGAAGCAGGCTCCATGTGGGGAGCCTGACGTGGGACTCGATCCCAGGACTCCAGGATCATGCCCTGGGCTGAAGGCAGACACATGCTCAACCGCTGAACCACTCAGGTGCCCCGAAGATATAAACTTTAAAGCGAGTATCATAAATACTATAAATACTAAAACATGCTCAAGGATGTAATGGAAAATCTGAACGCCATGAGGCAAGAAATGAAGATATTAACACAGTAACGTCAAGAGCTGGAAAAAACAAGATCTGAAAGGAAAAACTAAATGAGATTAACAGCGGATTAGATCCTGCAGAAGATGAGAGAACTTAGAGGCACAGTAAGTAAACTTCTACACTACAGGGGGAAGGAAGGGAAAACACAGAGCAGCCTCAGCACCACGTGCAACAGTGTCAAGTGCATCAACACACAGTTAACCTGAGTTCTAAGGGCAGAGGAAATATCCAAAGAAATAACAGCCAAAATCATTCCAAATTTGATGACCACTGTACACCTATTAATCTAAAAGCTTCAACAAATTCCGAGCAGGATAAATGGGAAGAAAATTACACCATGGCATGTCATGTTTCAAATTGCTGAAGATCACCAAAAAAAAAGAAAATCCTACCAACTGCCAGAGAAAAAAGCCCAAGTTACATGGAGGAACAAAGAGAAGTATAAAGACAGATCTCTTGTCTGAACCAACACAAGCCAAGGCAGTAGGACCATCTCTTTTTAAATGCTGAAAGGAGGGCAGCCGGGTGGGGGGCTCAGTGGTTTAGCGCCGCTTCAGCCCGGGGTGTGATCCTGGGGTCCCGGGATCAAGTCCCACATCGGGCTCCCTGTGTGGAGCCTGCGTCTCCCTCTACCTGTGTCTCTGCCTCTGTGTCTCATGAATAAATAAATAAAATCTAAAAACAAAAAAAAAACAAAAAAAAAAAGGAAACCCAAAAGAAACAGAAAAGCTAGCAAAGTATCTAATTACACAATGAACTTTAAACGTTACACCCAGTTAAAGAAGCCAGCCAGTCACAATAGTCCACGTATTGTCTGACTCTATTAACAAAAACGTTCCTGCCACACACGTGCAGACACAGAAAGCAGATTAGTGGTTGCCAGGGACTGGAGGGGGCGTGGGGGTGACTGTCGACGGGTAGGGGCTTCTTCTGGGGATGATGAAACGTTCAGGAATTAGTGGTGAGGGCTGCCCAAGTCTGTGACACACTAAACACCAGGGAAGTACACACCTGAAATGGTGAAACCCGTGGCGTGTAAGTCCCCCCTCACCTCAGCACAAGCAGCTTTCGTCCCAGAGCAAGACTCTCAACGGGCCACTTAGGACAAGAGGAGCTTCCCCAGAGGAGACGTGAACACCCCACATAAAGGACGGGCGTCCTTCTGGCATCCGGGACAGCCTCAGTGTGATGGAAAACTCAACCAACTCACCTGCTCCAGGGAAAACCTGCCATCCGCCTGGCACACTGGCCAGATGCAGGTGCCCAACAGAACGCGGGCAGGAGAGGCCTGGCAGGAAACACTCCAACTTATGAAACAGAAGCAGAGGAGCCCTCATCTCCATCCCTTAGGTCTTAAATGCGGACAGAACCAGTAACACGGAAAGACCGAATTACACGGAAAAGCTGATGCCAGAGGAGAGAGGTGAACCTGGGGAAGAGCGGAGCACAGCCAGACCTGGACCGAGGGACTCAGAAACAGAGCAGAGACCGTCACGACAACAGAGACCAGAAAAGCAGATTATTCCACACGCTCATCTCAGGAATCCTCACCACCCGCCTCCAGCTGCAGTAAAAAGGGAAATAGAGTGATACAAATCCACAAAGAAGAAGAGAGGAAAAAACAACAGCCAAGAGATGTCATCTGTGCCTTGGAAACCGGACAGCAGCAGCAGGGAAAGCCGGGGGACCTGGAGCAGCCCAGCAAGCAGTCCGCGCTCAGGCGCCGGGAGGGCCCCGGGCAGGGCAGAGAGGGGGACAACGGGAGTGCTCCGGGGTCCCGCAGCCACCGCCCCTGCTGGGCAGAGAGCCAGAGGCTTACGTCTCTAAAGTGAACACCGCAGCCATTAGCCACATTTGGAGCCTTTCTTAATTGGAGTCCAATAAAATTTTAAATGCAGTTCTTCGGTCATCCTAGCCAAGCTTCCGGTGCTCTGCAATCCCGTGTGGCTAGTGGTGACCTTGCCAGACGGTGCCGATCTAGAACATTCCGTCATCACACACGGGACCGAGGTGCTCTGGGGAGAGCGGGTCCAAGAGGAAGCCAGGAAGGGGCGGACGACAGCCACGCGGTCAGCGCCGCAGTCCCAGGCCGGAGCAGGCATTCCGGGACCGGCCGACCCGGCTGCAGCACCCAGCACCCAGCTGCGGCCCCTGCTCCCCAGACCGCAACACCCAGCCCCTACGGCGACTGTGAAGAGCACCAAGCCACAGACAAGCACACTCGGATAGCAAAGACAACGGACGAAATAAATGAAAAGAGGAATCCCCGGGTGGCTCAGCGGTTAGCGCCGCCTGCAGCCCAGGGCGTGACCGCGGGGTCCCGGCATCGAGTCCCGCGTCGGGCTCCTGCGTGGGGCCTGCTCCTCCCTCTGCCTGCGTCTCTGCCTCTCTCTCTCTCTCTCAATCTCATAAATAAATAAATGAGATCTCAGAAAAGAAGAAGAGGAAGAGCTCGACTCGGGCTGGAGCTGGGGCAGGATGGGACCCGCGGCGCCTGCCTCCGTCCTCACCGAGGTGCGGGTCCAGCAGATGAGGCTGCTCCTGGTATTTGTCCATTATCACTAAAAAGAAAGCGCGAGAATCAGCGTCAGGGAGGGCGGTGCCCCCTCCGCGCCCGCAGGCCCCCGCCCCCCCCCCCGCCTTTGTCTGCGGCTCGCCCCCGCCCCCCGCGGGCCCCCCAGGCCCCCGCCCCCCCATCCCCCCGCCCGCCCCCGCAGGCCCCCCGCCCCCATCCCCCCAGGCCCCCCGCCCCCATCCCCCCGGCTGCCCCCGCCCCCCCATGCCCCCGCCCGCCCCCGCGGGCCCCCCGCCCCCGCCCCCCAGGCCCCCGCCCCCCATCCCCCGCCCGCCCCCGCGGGCCCCCCGCCCCCATCCCCCAGGCCCCATCCCCCCGGCCGCCCCCGCCCCCCCAGCCCCCCGCCCGCCCCCGCCCGCACCTCGGAACCGCTCCAGGGCGCCCTCCCGGGCCGCACGGTCGCCGAGCACCTCCCGCAGGCGGCCGAGCAGCGCCCGGGTCTCCGCGCTCTCGCCGAACGCCTCGAGGGCGCTGCCGCGCGCCAGCACCTCGTCCTCCGCCCCGTCCTCCGGCGCGCCCGCCGCCCGCTCCTCGCCCAGGGCCATGCTCGGCGTCCGCGGCCGCGCCCGAGCTCCGGGAAGGCGAACGCGGGCTGACGCGGGCCGAGGGCGACGGCTGAGGCACAGGCGGTCGCCACCGACGCCGGCCCCGCCCCGCGACCTCCGACCTCGCGCCTCGGGCCGCTACGGAGCGCGCCGGCCGCCAAAAGAGGTGCACGGAGGCGGCGCGGAGCCCCGAGGGGCGGGCCCGGGGAGGGGAGCCTGAGGCGGGGAGGGGGGCGGGGCCTGCTGCGGGGGCGGGGCAAGAGGGAGGGCGGGGCCCGGGCAGGGGAGCCTGCGGGGGGCGGAGCCTGCAGTGCGAGATGGGGCGGGGCCACGGGCGGGGCCCGCGGAGAGGAGCCAGCGGCGGGCGGGACTGGAATGCGGGGGGCGGGGCCTGCTGCGCGGGGTAGGGCGGGGCCAGGGGAGGGGAGCCTGCTTGCGGGATGGGGCGGGGCCGGGGAGGGGCGGGGCCGGGGAGGGGAGCCCGCGGGGGGGAGCCTGGTGCGCGGGGTGGGGCGGGGCGGGGCGGGGGCGGGGGCGGGGCCTGAGCTCGCGGGTGCAGCCCGGAGGGTGCGGCACGGAGCGGAGCCTGCGGGGGGAGGACCGGAGCAGGGGCGGGGGGCGGAGAGAAGCAGGGGAGGAGACCCAGGCCGAGCCCCGCCGCCCCGCCGCCCCGCCGCCCCGCCGCCCTGCACGCTGGGGGCGCGGCTCGCACCGAAGTCCCGCCAGCGCGGGTCCTGCGCGACGCAGGTGCTGGGTTGAGATGTCGCAGGTCCGGAAGGAGGCGTCCCGGTGGGTCGGGCGGGAACAGCCTCCTGACCGCGAGGCCAGACCCAGGAAAGAGAAAGGCGGGCGCGCCTGCGCCCCGAGGCTGGTGATTTTGCCAGGAGGAGCAGAGGCCTGGCCTTCAGGGAGGACACGCGACCCGACCCCGGCCGCCCGACCACAGTGGACGCCCAGACACCCCCGTGGGCAGGGCCCGACCCCGCCCTCTTGTCATCCCCTGAGACCTGCAGTGCGGGGCCGGCTGGCGGTGGCTGCGGCCCCAAGACCTTTCCTTCCGTGTGTCCCACCTGGGCAGGGGCGGACTCCGAGCCCCACTCCCCGGAGATGCCGCGGGACAGGGGAGACCCACCTCCCGGTCCCCACCTCTGCCTGGGTCCAGGGGACAGGTGTGATTCCCACCCCCATCCACGCAAATCCCAGGTCTGTGTGATCTCTATGCCAATTATCCTGAAAACATCCAGATCCCCCCCCCCCCAGACCACGATACGTAATGAGCCTGCTGGAACCTGCCGGGTGCCCCGGGCCCAACCACAGGAGCGTGGAGACACAGGCAGCTGACGGCCATTGGGTCCGGGAGCCCCCGACTTTATTGATCACTGGCGCTGCTCGCCCGGCCTGTTGGTGAAGCAGGGGGTGGCCGATGCAGGGCAGCTGCTACTTGAGAAGCTTCCTCATGGTGCCCAGGGAGGGGCTCCTGTACCCCTGCCCGAAGTGGTTCCAGTGGTTCAGGTAGTTAAAGAGCTGGTACAGCAGCAGCCGCTTGTCGAACCCCGGAGCCTTGGGGATCTTGCGGTGGTAGGCAGTGAAGAAGGATCTGGGGAACCCCCCAAACATCAACGCAATGGCCAGCTCAAACTCAGAATGTCCGTAGAAGGAAGCTGGGTCGTAAATAATGGGTCCCACGTCGTCCTCGGCGACGTTCCCGGACCAGAGATCCCCATGAAGCAGGGCAGGGACGATCTCTAGGCCACAAAACAGATCCGGGATCTTCACCTAAAAGAAAAAATAATTTATTGCACACGGAGTTACCGTGGGGACTCTGAGCCACCGCCGCCTCATCCGACACTTGGAAATAAGGCAACGATGACCTCGCGTTTGTTCAGGGCCCAACGACAACCTGGTCTGTGAAGCCCAGAGAGGAGGATCCTGGGGTCCAGGAGGAGGCAACACTGTCTTACTATCACCAATTTAGTCTGCACCCCCCATGGCACTAATGACCTCCACACAGTAGAGACCTCAGTGGAGGTGGTCCCGTAGAATAGGAACCAAATAACATGAGTGGAAGGGCTTGTTTTTTTTTTTTTAAGTAACTTGGCAAATCTTCTCCACCGTTCTTTTAAAAATTTTTTTTGAATTTTTATTAATTTTTTTGTTTTATTTATTTATGATAGGCACACAGTGAGAGAGAGAGAGAGAGAGGGGCAGAGACACAGGCAGAGGGAGAAGCAGGCTCCATACACCGGGAGCCCGACGTGGGATTTGATCCCGGGTCTCCAGGATCGTGCCCTGGGCCAAAGGCAGGCGCTAAACCGCTGCGCCACCAGGGATCCCTTCTCCACTATTCTGTTATTTTTCAGCACATACATCCCTGCGCCTCTTCCATATATTCCTGGCTACTTCATCAGTGAGTTAAATAAAGTTTCTTCTGCAGGATCACCCTGGATGGACACACAAGTTCTGCTTTTAACATTTTGAGAGTTCTAGTTCCAAACTAGTCACTCTAGGGCATCTGCTGCCCACATCAGACGTTCATGCCTTGGAAAAGGAAGAGGAACAGGGCAAGAGAGCATGAGGAAGCAATGGTAAATGCCACCATTGATGAGACAGGGGCGCACGTGTCACGAGAGCCGCGCTCGAGGTCGAGTACTTGGTGACCTAGCCGGTGAGATGGCACCGGGGCCAAGTACGTCCCCAGACACCATCCCCTTCCCAGGTTCCCCGTCAGCCAATAGCCAGGCACTTCTGTGTCCGCACTTGACCACCTCTGCTCGGGGGCTCCGTGTACCGGAGGCCCCCCGCCCAGGTGTGGTGGGCTCCTAATAGGACAGCCCCCATCCCAGGAAGTGACCTCTGCACCCACCTGTAGCTGTGACCAGAGTTCTCGGGCCTCTCGATCAGCATAGTCCTTTTCAATGAGGTCCAGCTGCGCTTGGAGACGGTGCCGGGCAAAGAAGGTGGGCCAGTCATCCTGCCACTCGTTCACCTGGGCAACGGAGGGACGAGGCTGAAGCCATTAAAGACAGCCCAGAAGAGGGCCGACGGGCAGGACAAAGGGAGACAACAGGACAGAAAACAGACAGCAGGATGACAGATTCGGCCCCAGCCACGTCCATAAGCACGTTACGTGCAAAGGGGCCAAGGACCCCAGTGAAAAGCCTCGAGTCCAAGCTGCGCGCATCGGAAGGCAGAAGCAGGCCACGGGGACGGAGAAGACGCGCCTGCCGACACCTGCCAGAAGGAAGCTGCAGTGGCTGCGCTGGCAGCAGATTTCAGGGGCCAGAATATCACGGACACAGTCGTCTCAGAGGAAGGCGGGCCGGGCCGGCTGATGAATAGGACGGAATGATCCTAAATATCTGCGCCACTGATCCTCGGCACAGGGCCCATCGCTGGCCAGCAGCGGAAATGGGGCCCCACTGGGATACCCACCACCGCTCGCCCACCCGGACGCGGGAACTCTAAGGTACCCGCGCCCTCCTCCACTGCTGTGGGGGATGCCAGACGGACGAACACCTGGGGAAACATTTCCGCGGTTTCTTAGAAGTTAGGGGTGACTGGGTGGCTCAGTCGGTGGAGCGTCCGACCCTTGGTTTCGGCTCAGGTCATATCTCAGGGTCACGGGATTGAGTCCCCCGTTGGGTTCCGCGCTCAGCGGGGAGTCAGCTTGGGATTCTGTGCCCCTGCTCCCACCTGCTCTCTCTCACTCTAATAGGGACACCCGGGGGGCTCAGCAGTTGAGAGTCTGCCTTCGGCTCGGGGTGTGACCCCGGGGCCCTGGGATCGAGTCCTGCACTGGTCTCCCTGCAGGGAGCCTGCTTCTCCCTCTGCCTGCAACTCTGCCTCTCTCTGTGTGTCTCTCACGAATAAATAAAGTCCTTAAAAATGAATAAATAAATAAATAAATCTCTCTTCCTTTTTTATTTTTAAGTTAAATACAAACCTACTATGTGACCCGGCCGTTTCCCTCCTAGGTATTTACTCAAGACAAGTGGAAGCACTTGTCTACACGCCCTTGTACACAAAGATTCAGAGCAGCTTTATTTGCGAAAGCAAAACCTGGAAATAGGTGCCGGTCAGCAGGTGAATGACAGACTGTGGCTCATCCTACAAAGGAACAGACTTTGCGCACATGCAACAACATACACGAGTATCATGAAGTGATGAAGCTGGGTGGAAAAACCCAGAGAAAGGCACGTATCGTGTGATGCCATTTACGTTAAATGCTATGAAATACAAATTATCTGTACTGACGGTGGTTGCCAGGGGCAACGAAGGGCAGGAGGACCCTTGGGGGCGATGGATATACTCGTCCCAACCACGGTGACCGGTTCACGAGTATCTACACGTGTCAAAACTTACCAAATTGTACACTTCGATGTGAAGTATTTTTTATGTCAATTAAACCTTAATAGAGGTTTTTTTTAAAAAAAAGATGCAAAGTTTACATCATACAAAGGGTTACTTTGGGAAGCCCCCCAGGGGAGGGACTCTCCAGAGAGCCTGCATCGTCATGCTGACCTGCAGACACATGTCCCCGGCCGGTGCTGTCAGCGTGGACGCGCCCTGTGCCGGGTGCTGTGGCCGCTCAGCCCGGGGTCACCCCCTTGGTGCTGGTGGGAGGCCCTGTCCCCAAACAGCCTGGGGCACGTGGGTGGCCGCCCTCCTTCCCCATCTGCCTGCACAGGCTCCCAGGGCCCAAGGCTCCGTCTTCCTTCTGGGCGACCACGTCGTGAAAGGCACAGATGGAGTATCGAGAGCTGGACACCAGCACTGGCTGGTCCAGTCCCCCCTCCTGGACAGAGGGATGGTGATCCCCCCCCCCCCGCCATGAAGAGACAGGGCTTTACCCTGAGCTGCCGGAGGCCGGCCACCTGAGCACACCACTGGCTGGCGGGACTCTCTCTGTGACAGAGGCCCAAGGCCACGGGGCTTCGGGCCCACGCTCTGAAGCAGGCGTGGGTCCCCTCCTGGCCCTCCGCTCACCGGCCCAGGGCCTCAGGGCACCGCTGGGCTCTCGGCACACCCGTTCCTCATCTGTAAGAGGACTCACATGACATCACCAGCCTCCTCAGGTCGCTAGGGCAGCCGGTGACCGGTGTGGGATCAAGCACTTAGGCACGTGCCCGGGGAGTGGCCGCGTACAAAACACACCAGCTGGGCGACCAAGCCAGTGGTCCCAGGGGGCTTGGTGCACGAGGTGTCCGAGAGAAGCCCGCTGCCACCACTCAGGGTCGCCCCACTCATCCTGCCCGGGGAGCAGACCCTCCCGCAGCTCCGGGCTGGTGCAGGGCACCCCACCCGGGACCATCTGTCCCAGCTCGGGGTAGACTGAGCGTCCTGCCTGCCGGGCCCCTCTCCCCTTCCCGGCCAGTTGCCGCTGAGTTGAATGGGTTCCCTGATCGTGGAGTCTAAAGGGGCAGAGGGGCTGCCTGTGTCCCTAATGGTCCAGCCCCACTCTCACCGACGTCACACAGTGGGGCTCCGTGTACGATTTCACTTCCCTGTTCTTGGGGAGTCCCGGTCCGAGGCCCACCGAGTCCTTGGAGAGCCCGCTGCGCTTAAACCCAACCTCTCGGGGCCGCATTCAGCCGAGCCCCGGCTCCGGGCGGCGCAGCCCGGGGGGCAGCTTCCGCAGGCATTGCCGGTCCTAACGGGCCGGGAGCCCGCTGTGCGGGTAGCGTCGAGGGACCCCGGACGGGAGGGCTGCCCCGGGGTTGGGCCCTAAGCCTGGCTCGGGCTTCATCAGGCCCTCGCCGGTGCTGTCCACGGGGGACACTCGCCCTCCGCCCACGGCGAGTGGTTAGGCGCCCGCGGGCCAGGGAATGAGGGCCGCCCGCGAACTGATAGGGGATTTCTCTTGGAGGTGATGACAATGTCCCGCGACGAGGCAGCACTGACGGCTGCACAGCACGGACGTGTGGAGAACCAAGGGGCAGACACCGGGGGTTTGTAAGGAGGCTCCGTGCCCAGCGGGGAGCCCGATTCGGTGCTTGGACGCACGACCCTGCGATCGAGGCCTCACTCACGACCAGGAGGCAGGTGTCTAAGCCACTGAGCCAGCCAGGCGCCCCTGTACACTCCGAAGTAATGGGGTTTGTGCCACAGGATTACAAAGCCCCGGGGCGGGTGACCAGGACTTGCCCCTGCCCCTCCACCCGCCTGGAGCCCCGGCAGTCATCACCGGGCCCTGCACCTGCTGTTCCCTCTGCCTGGCTGCCCTTCCACACGCCCCACAGCCCGGGCTCAGCTCAGCGACCCCCTGCGCCTACCCCCGTCCCCGTGTCACAGCTGCAAGCGCCTTCCTGGGGCGCAGGGGGTCCTCCAAGGGGCGAGGCGACCTGCTCTGGGGCCCCGGGGAGGACATGGGCGCCCGGCACTCACCTGAGGGATGAAGCCACAGCAGATCACTGTGTGGAAGCCAAACCTGCTCACGTACGTGGCCCCCTCAGCCCTGCGGCCTGTGGACGGAGAGGGCTGCTGTCTTGCTGTAAACGCGGTGCCCGGCCAAGCACCCGGCCACCCGGGCACCCAAGCACCCAGGCACCCGGGGACCTGAGCACCCGAGCACCCAGGCACCTGAGCACACGACCACCCAGGGACCCGAGCACCCGGGGACCCAAGCACCTGGGCACCTGGGGACCTGAGCACGTGACCACCCAGGGACCCGAGCACCTGGGGACCTGAGCACCCGAGCACCCAGAGACCCAAGCACTGGAGCACCCGGGGACCTGAGCAGCCGGGCACCCAAGCACCCGAGCACCCAGGCGTGCTCCTGCGGCCTCGGGCACCAGTGGGGCTGAGCATAAGCGGGGCGTGAGCCGGCCCTCCCCACCCGATGAGGAGGACAGCGGACGTGGACGCCGCCTCCAGGAGGGCAGCCCGCGGGCGGCAGGAACCCCAGGTACGTACCCAGCGTGCTCTCCTCCTCCCGGCACCTGTCCCTCAGCCTCTGGTTGTGGAGGTGCAGCTCTGCCATCTGCTCTCCGAGCCTGGACGCCTGACTGGGGAAGAGGACGGCCCTTCACGCGGGAAACCCCAGCGCCCAGCGCCAACGCTCCGCCGCGGCAGGTGCTCCAAATCCCTTAAAAACTACTCTCCGTTCCTTGAAAAAGTGAAAAGTGAACTGCAGACCATGACCCTTTCTGAAAAACAGAATCACCAAGCGGCGACCGGCTGGTGGCCTCAGCGGAAGCCTTGGCACAGGCTTAAAACGTCACGGGAAGAAAAAGCAGGCCCCCCCCAGCTCAGGGCGTGACCCCCAGGATCAAGTCCTGCGTGAGGCTCCCTGCAGAGAGACTGCTTCTTCCTAGGCCTGGGTCTCTGCCTCTCTCTGTGTCTCTCAGGAATAAAGAAATAAAAATCTTAAAAAAAAAGAAAGAAAGAAAAACCAGCCCCAAAGTTCTGTAACCACAAATGTAAATCACATATTTAAAAAAACTGTGATGATCTTCAGGCACCAAGAGGTCAGTGTGGCCTTTGGTGAGGGAACCACAGGTGGCCGCTGCACGTCAATCTGTGGTTTCCACCTTTTAAGGCCTTGAATATTACACACATATCTTTAACAGTTAGAAAAAATCCTAAGGACTGCAGCTACCCCCTAGGGGGACCTCACTGGGCCAGTTCATCGCAAAGCACAAGGCCGAGGCCGCGGGGCCTAACACGCTTCCTGGACACCGCGTCCTGGGAGCCAAACTAGCCCAGAACCACGGGGAAGCAAGACCACCTGCTCGGTGGACAATCCGACAATGGGGGGGCGGGGGACCATGGGACGGGAGGGTCCCAGGCAATGGGAGAGAGCCTGCTCCCTCCTCTCTGGGCCTCCCCCTCCCTCCCCTCCCTCCCCCTCCCTCCCCACACCCTCCCTCTCTCCCCCTTTCTCCCCCTCCCCCCTCATTCCCTCCCTCCCTCCCCTCCCTCCCCCTCCCTCCCCACACCCTCCCTCTCTCCCCCTTTCTCCCCCTCCCCCCTCATTCCCTCCCCCCCATACACACTCCGGCACACTCACCTGCTCAAGCTCCTCATCTTCAGATGCTCCATCACAAAGGCGGCCCCCCCTCCGGGCAGGTCAATCACCTTGACGGGCCGAGGCACCCGCACCAGGCCGGTGGCCCGGAGAGCCTCCAGGCTGGCCAGCTCTCCCTCAAACATCTGCCGGGCCTGCATCCAGAGTAAGCCGTGAGCTCACGGACAGGAGCCACCACCCGGGATTGCCCAGGAGCACCCAGAACCTCCAGGTCCCGAAAACTAGCTGGAGAGTAGGCCACTGGCTCCTCAGAGGCTGGGGTGCAAAGTGGCTGCTTTCAGACAGGAAGGGGCGGCCAGGATGGGGCTGTGCCTGGGACTTGGGGTGCTTGCTCTGAGAGGTGAGGAAGCGCCGGTGCAGGGGAGCTTCAGGGGGTGCTGGGGGTACATTGGGGCGCTGGAAGTGCCATAGTTCCGGGAGGGTGCTGGGGGTACAATGGAGGTACTGCAGGGTGCCAGGGGGTGCTGGTGGAGATCCCAGGGGTGCCCATGGGGTGCCATAGAGGTTGTGAAGTTCCTCGGGGGGCTGTGGGGGTCCTGGAGGTATCTTAGGGTGCTGCAGGGGTTCTGGATGGTGCTCTGGGGCTGTGGGAGTGCCAGGGGTGCCAGGAAGTACTGTGCGGTGCTCAGAACGTGGGTTAGTGGAGGGTCTGTGCTGGACCCCTGCGTCCGGTTACCTGCCCACCTCACGGCCTCAAGCAATGATAGTGAAAGAGCAGCAGCAGCATAGGGAGGCAGGGGGTGGTAGGGGGAGGCAGGGGGCGGCAGGGGGGTGGCAGGGGGGGCTGGGGGCAGCAGGGGGTGCTGGGGGAGCTGGGGTGGCAGGGGCGACAGGGGGGCATGCCAGAGTGACCGGGACACACATCTGGGCCAAGGGAAAGCAGGGGGAGGTCAGCAGGGCCTGGCCCGGGCGGGGGGGGGGGCACACACCCCACCCAGGAAGACCACAGCCCCCACCAGGACCAGGACCCAGGAGCCGTCCTATTTCTAAAACACTTCCCGCAGATACCCCGATTTGACCCAGGTGGCCCCCCGGCCCAGGTACAGGTCAGTGGGTTCCCAGCGAGCCTGCGCGTAGCCTTGCGAGCACCTCCAGCCGTGGAACTACCCTCACGAGGCCGAAGCATCTGCTTCCCCGCGGGCAAGGAACCCCGTGCCTTAACCCAAAGCACCCAAGGGGAAAACGAGGCGAGGGGTCCTCCGGACTGGCAACACACCGTGCAGCTGCGAGGCCGGGGTGGTTAGCATCAGTGGGGGCCGGCCCTAAACCCCAGCACCCCCCCCCATGCTCCGGGGCAGGCGGGTCCCCAACACACGGGCTGCAGACAGCCTGAGCCAGCGCCCAGGGCCTCGAGGGAAGGTGGGGGCCCAGGGGGGGCTCAGGGGAGGGTTCCAGGGCCTGCACGAGCCCGCCCCACTGCCTGCCCGGAGTGTGGCTCATGTTGAGGGGTTCTGGCTCGGACCTGAGGTTCCGGACAATTCCCTGCGCCAGGTGGCAGGTGCTGGGGGAAGGAGGCAACTCCCTGGGGCCCCCAGGCCGCATCCGCGGAGCCTCCGTGTCCTCCACGCACAGCTCAGTCGTGGGCCCCATGGGGCAGAGAGACCAGGTCCCAGCCCAAGCCTGTCCCGGCCCCTCCCGCCTCTTCCCACGGACACGGACCCTCGCGGGGAACAGGAGGCCGCCCGCAGGGAACGCTCAGGCCCGTCCCCGCCTGCCCGGAGCTGTCACCCCCTCTGCAGCCTCGGGCCTGCGGCTCCTGTGGAGGGGCCTGGGGGCGGGGACCGCACCTGTGTCCTGCGGTTGACCTTGACGAACACGGGGCCCGCGTCCGTGTCGTAGGCGCGCCCCTCGCTGATGCAGCCCGCCCCGGGGCTCCCGAAGGGCCGCAGGGTCGCGGTGCGCAGCTCAGCGCGCAGCAGGTGCTCCATGGGGGGCTCGCGGGGTCGGGGGGGGGTGGGGGGGGTGGGGTGGCGCTGTCCAGGCCGGGGGGTGCACGGGGGCGCTGTCCGGGCCGAGGTCCAGGCCTGGTCCGCAGGGAAGCGCGCCCGCAGGCTGTCCCCCCACTGATGGGTCCTGATGCCGCGGTCCGCCTCCTGCGCCGCCCGCCGCCACCGCTGGCACCAGCTGGAGGGCGGGGACAGGGACGGCGACAGGGGCGGGGCGGGCCAAGGCTTTCCATTGGGGGACAGAGTCGGGCGGCGCCTCCGCCGGTGCCCGCAGGGTCAGGGCGCCCACAGCCTTGCTGGACCCCGGCCCAGGGCCCCACGGGACTCCGCGCGCACAATCCGGGGTGGAGCCCGTCGACCTCGGTTGCGGCCTAGCTGGGTCCCACAGGGTCGCACAAGGCTGGAGGCCCTGGCTCGGCCCGGGGACCCCCGCGGCTGCTGTTGGGCTTGTTCCTCAGGCCACTCGGTGGCCTCCAGAGATAACGGGCTGCCGGGGCGCTTCTGAGAGCACGTGGCCAACGGCGCCCAGAACGGGGCCCCCGATAAGAGACCTGCTGCCCACAACGGGAACTTCAAGCCACACCTGCCAGGGCACCCGCGGGCTCAGTCAGTGAGCGCCTGCCTTGGCTCAGGGCCTGATCCCGGGGCCTGGGACCGAGCCCCCATCGGGCTCCCTGCTCAGAAGGGAGCCTGCTTCTCCCTCTGCCCCTCCCCCCCCCGTGTATGGGTGTCAGATAAATAGAATCTTAGAGCACACAAGCCCATGTGCACACAGGCGTGCAGACACGCACACCCCTGTGCACACGCTTGCACAAGCTCACGGCAGCAAGGCAGGTGGGACAGAGGAGACTGGCATCCGTGGAGAGGCCGTCCGCCCGTCCGTGCCTTCCTCCTCCTAGACCAGCCCCCCAGCCTGGTGAAGCCCGGAGGAGGGACCCCTGAAGGTAGGCTCGGGCTCTTGCAGTCTGTCCGCGGAGGTCGCTGCTCTGTTGACGCTGCGGGGGGTCGGCCTCCCGGGGTGGATATGAGGTCCTGTTCTCTCACAAACAGAGGGTCCTGCTCCGTGACTTCCCAGGTCATTTGGTGTTGAGACGTTTGAAGCTGCGCTGACTCTTCCTCTTTGTGTGGAAACTGTCCTCTCTCGGGAGGCTTGTAGGGCCTCCTGTGCCATGGGTGCCTGACAATTCCCTGGGCAGGGGGCTGCGGCGACTTTCCTGCCACCCGGCAGGTCGGGGAGCTGGTTCAGGAGGGAACTTGGTCCTTCTACCAGGGAACTTGTCTTCAGCTCTCTAGGAATTCCTTCCTGCTTTCTCTGTTCCCTCCTTCAGAATTACAAATATGTGCTCCAAGGTGGGTCCGGAGCGGCGAGATTAGGCACCCTGAGCCCCTGCGCGGCCTGCGGGACACCCTGGCCCTCGCTGAGCCTCGTTCTGGGCCCCGGGCAAGGGCTGGCCCAGTGGAGTCTGAACGTGGCAGGTGGCACACCGTCTTACTGGTCCCGAAACCCAGGCCCTTGGGGTCCCCTCCTAGGCCTCCCAGCTCCCCAGTCCTCGGCGTGAAGGTGCGTGAAGGTGCGAGCCGAAGAGAGCACTGTGACTTTGCATCTGAGTCTGGGTGTGGCCACAAGCTCAACTGGGAGATGTGACTCGGGTACCTCCAAGCGGCCCCTGGGCTGAGTCCCCCTCCCCCACAGCTGGTCCCCTGGGCGGGCTCCTGGGTGTGCCGGCCTGCGGGTCACACAATGCTGACAACTCTTTTTTATTTATTTATTTATTTATGATAGTCACAGAGAGAGAGAGAGAGAGAGAGAGAGAGAGAGAGAGGCAGAGACACAGGCAGAGGGAGAAGCAGGCTCCATGCACCGGGAGCCCGACGTGGGACTCGATCCCGGGTCTCCAGGATCGCGCCCCGGGCCAAAGGCAGGCGCCAAACCGCTGCGCCACCCAGGGATCCCCTGACAACTCTTTATATAAGAATACGTACACGCATAAAAAATAATGGGTACAAAATTGGGTACATACGTAGATACTTTAGAATGAGCGACGGGGACACACTGCCAAGTTTCAAAAGCTGACAAGTCCCGCAGCAGCACCAAAGCCAGGAGACGCGGCATCTGGGCGATGGGGCGTCCTGCGTGTGCGCCCTGCACACACACCCTGCCTCCCGGGACCGCTCTCCTGGCCACGCTCACAGGCCTCAGGCTGCCCCGTCCTGACCCGGGGTCTGTGCTCTTCTCTTACTGAACACTCAAGAAAAAAAACTGCTCTTAAGAAACAGTCACGGGAAAAAAAAAAAAAAAAAGAAAAAGAAACAGTCGTGGGGCCTGGGGGACCCGGCAGTGGAGTGTCTGCCTTTGGCCCAGGGCGTGACCCCGGGGTCCAGGGATTGAATCCTGCACCGGGCTCCCGGCACGGAGCCTGCTTCTCCCTCTGCCTGTGTCTCTGCCTCTCTGTGTGCCTCTCATGAATAAATAAAATTTTTTTAAAAAAAGAAAAAAGAAACGAGGCCGTATCTGTTTATGGTCACAAAGGTTTTGCGAACAGGAAAGATAAATGTTGAATTACAACGCAAATGAAGGAAATACACAGTCTTGTCATCACTCAAATCACTCAAAGTTTATTCAAATTTTTATGCAAAAGACTTTCTCAGCATCAATGCCATTGAGGGGCACATCGCTGCGAGGACCAGGACGAAGGGAGGGCCACTGGTTCACCATTGTTTATGCAAGGGAGTAAGTAACTCGCAAGCTTTAAAACAGCATCGGGACGGGTGCTAACAGGGGATTCAGCGGCTCCTAAATTTACCCAAGACTAGCAGTTTGGTCGCTCCCAGAATCAGCGTCCAGACCCGTCGGCCTGCGGCACAGAAGGAAAGGGAATGTGCTCGGTTGAAATTGGTGATTCGGAGCCACCATCGGCTCTGGATTCATGTCTACACCACGTCTAACCCCGGACATTGGAGTCGCTCCTGGAGATGAGACGGGAGGAGCCGAGGCGCGAGTGCCCAGCACCTGGCTCGCGGGCCGCGTCCCCCTCAGCCTCGGGCAGCTGCTTCAGTGGGACCCACACGCCCTGGTCCCTGCGGGCACTGCACTTCCAGTGAGGCTCGATCCAGCTATGGGTCTAACAAAACGTGCGGCCTCGGGAGGACGGAGCCTCTCCTCCTGGTACTTACAGGGCTGGGAAGTCAGTGTGAAGAATTGGGGGAGCTGGGGGGAGCCGGGGGCGGGAGGTGCAGACCTGGTGCACCTGCACCTCCGGGCCAGGGAGCTCATCTGACGAGGTTCCTCATGATGTTCAGGGACGACCCTCTGTACCCCGATCCAAAGTGATTCCAGTGGTTCAAGTAGTGGAAGAGCTGATAGAGCTGCAGGCGAGCCTCGAAGCCCGGGGCCTTGGGGATGGCGCCGTGGTAGGCGGAGTAGAAGGAACGGCCGAAGCCTCCGAACATGCCGGCTATCGCCAGCTCGTACTCCGCGTGGCCGTAGAAGGAAGCCGGATCGAAGATGACGGGCCCGGAGGAGTCCTCTGCGACGTTTCCGGCCCAGAGGTCCCCGTGGAGCAGGGCCGGGACGATGTCCAGGTCACGAAACAGGTCAGGGATCTTCAGCTGCAGGGACGACGGGCGTCCTCAGCAAAGTGAGCGACACGTGTGGGAGGGACACGGATGCTTTTCTGCAGGGCGTGGCACGCAGACGCCCAGGCGGGGCGCAGGGACCACGAGCCCCCACCGAGCCCCCACCGCCCCCACCGCCGGCCCAGGCCTCCTCCTGTGCAGACCCGCCCGCAGGCCCTGCCTCAGGCCTCCCCTCACCTGCAGAGCAGACCAGAGCTCCCGGGCCTCCCTGTCCCCAGACCCCTTCTCCACCATGTCCATCTGGGGCTGAATGCGCTGCCGGGCATAGAAGGTCACCCAGTCGTCCTGCCAGTCGTTCACCTGCGTGGACAGAGGGCAATGCCAGGGCCGAAGGAGCGGGCCCAGAGCGGAGGGGCACCGCTGCAGGGCTGGGCCGCGGGGGTGTGCGGCCAGCAGGTGGGGTGTCTTGGGCCAGGCTGGGACCCAGACCCCGTCCCAGGAGCGGGACCCTCCCGGGGCAGAGCACAGAGGCCGGTTGGAGGAGCTCCAGGTGCTCCGGGCAGCCCACGCTCAGGTGGAGCACAGCCCCGGCCCCTCGCAGCCCCCCAGGACTGCCCACCCGAGCACCAGCACGAGGAGTCGTGGGAGGAGACGCTCCGAGGAGACGCTGGAGACGCTGACCGGCAGGAGGGCCCACCTGCCAGCCAGGTGTCCGCACGCACGCGGGGCGAGCTGCAGGCAGGGGGGGAGGGGGCAGGACTGGCCGAGGGCCCCTGGGAGCCCTGCCCCCACCGCGCACCTTCTCACTGCCAACCTGCTGGCGTCCCCCTGCGGACCCCAGGAGGCTCCCAGCTCACCCAGGGAGCCCCTCGTGAAGCCACCTGGCCCCCCGCTCAGCGTGTGCTAGGCACTGGGAAGAGTGGGGGGATGCTCGCGGGCAGCCAGCCACAAAATCCTACCACTGGAACGTGCAAGTTCCTCGCACCCCGCCACCTGGAGAACCTGCATCCTGACCTGGTCCCACGTCTCTGAGCTCACCCATGGGTGATGTGGGCAGGCCTCGCGTCAGACTCTCAGAAATTAGGAAAGACGAAGGGGGCAAAGACCTGAGCTAAGTTCCGTAGAGGCCGGGCTTGTCCGGGCCCCAGCGGCCCACCTGGCAGGCGGTGGGAGGGAGGCCAGCGCTGGTGCCACTCACCTGGGGGAGGTATCCACAGCACGTCACCACGTCAAACCCGAACTTGTCCACGAAGGCCCGGTCCACCTGCCCGCCTCCTTTCCCTTGGGGGCAAAAGCAACAAAGAGAGACAACTGGCGCCCACGCTGCCCAGGCGGCCCCGGGCTCGGAGGGCTCCAGGTCTGTGCCTGCTGCGCCCTTCACCCACGTCCGCGCCCGGAGGTACGAGGTACGGAGCCTCCTCTGCATCCCCTGTGGCTCCCCCGCACCCGAGCACGTGCCGAGGCCTGCACGACGTGAGGCCGGACGGGGCAGCGGATCCGCGGCCATCTGTCCCTGGTGGGTCAGCTGTCCGCCCACACACTGGCCCCGGGGCCACACACGGGTTAGCAAACGTCCAAGAGGAAGAGCCTGGAAGGTTCTGTGGATGCCAACGGCAGGCTAAGGCCCGAGGCTGAGGCCCAGCCCCGCGCGGGCCATTCTCAGGGAGAAGGAGCCGTGGGGGCAGCCAGGCAACTCCGGGGAAGGAGGGGTACAGGGGCCACATCAGGACGGGGGTCGGGGGTCGAGTCTTGGAAACACTCGCCTTCCTAACGCAGCATCACTGCACGGGGTGTCCCCGAGCCCCAGCCCGGGTCCCGAGCGCAGACCTGGCCTCGCCCCGACACGGCCACGTACCCACGGTGCTGGCCTCCTTCCGGAGCGTCTCCCCAAGCCTCTTGTTCTCCAGATGCAGGTCGGCGAGCTGGGTTCCCAGCCTGGCGGCGTGGCTGTGAAGCAAACAGCGTCGCCAGGCGCATGGACGTGACCATGCTCACACCTCCTGCTCGCTCTCGGGCTCGTGCGGCAGGTCCGGGGACACAGAGTGGGCGTCGGCGGGCGGGGGGACACGGGCCCCGGGGCTCTGATGCTCCGTCCCGGCCTCTGCCGGCAGCCGGGTCCCCTTGTCGGCAACCGACCTCGGGGACCGCATCTGCCCTGGGCTGCTGAGCACATGTCCCTCAGCCCGCAGCACCCACAACACGTGGGGCCACGAGCTCGAGCTCCTTGAAACGACACCCCCGGTGCAGGTGTTCAGGGTGAAGGGACCACCCAGAGGAGGAGCAAAGCCAACCCGGGGGGGGGGGGCGCACAGACCTGTCCAGAGCCCGCATGTCCACGTGCTCCATCACCAGCGCGCTGCCGCCGCCCGGGACATCAAGGACCTTGATGGGCTTGGGCACCCGGACCGTGTCCGTCCTCAGGATGGCGGTCAGACTTGCCATCTCACCTTCAAACATTCTTCTGGCCTTTCCGAAAAACAACGGAGGGGAAGGCGAGGGGAGCAAGGTCACTCCTGGAAACGGTCTGCGGTGTCCTCTCAAGCGCGGCGACGTCAAACCAAGGCCGCCCTGCCCGCTTCCCAGCAGGGTGGGAGCCAGAGGGTGGCACGCTGTCCGGGACCCTGCTCTGCACTCGGGGGCAGTCCAAGGCCTCGAACGTGCCACCCTACGTCCGGTGCCCGCCGCCACCACTCCTCCCTCGCAGGGGAGAGCGGTCCAGTGGCCCACCCCGTCCTCTCCCCAGTCCTGGCTCCCCCAGGCCGCAGCGACCGGCCTTCCCCTTGTCGCTGTGCCCACCCCGCAGGACACTTCCCCAGGGCAAGTCCCAGCCTGGAACACACCCTGAGCTCGCAACCTGTGTGACGGCCCCTACCCGGTCACTGCAACGGCTGCCTCAGTGTGCACACGCCTGCGGGCGCAGAGGCCCCCTGCCTGCAGCCCCGCCGCCTGCAGCCCCGCCCTGCTCCTGGGGGGGCACCCCTGCCTGCAGCCCCGACCCCACCTTTGCCAAGTCAGGTCCTTCCTCCTTGTGCTTGAAATTTCAACGAAATTCATTCCGACTTCTCAAGTGCCCCCCACCTCCCCACCCCCAAGCACCTGCTCCCGCCAAAGGAGGTTTTTTGCTTTTTGTTTTTCACTCAAAACGCTACCGGAACGTGAGCGGAATCGGCACAGGCCGTGGGCTGCACCTGGGTCCCCGCGGACCTCGGCCGAGCACAGGGGCCGCAGCCCAGCTTCGCGGACCTGCTGCCCCCTCCCCTGCAACGTCCAGCTGCCCCTCCAGCTGCCCCTCCAGCTGCTCCTCCAGCTGCTCCTCCAGCTGCCCCTCCAGCTGCCCCTCCAGCTGCTCCTCCAGCTGCCCCTCCAGCTGCCCCTCCAGCTGCTCCTCCAGCTGCCCCTCCAGCTGCTCCTCCAGCTGCCCCTCCAGCTGCCCCTCCAGCTGCCCCTCCAGCTGCTCCTCCAGCTGCCCCTCCAGCTGCCCCTCCAGCTGCCCCTCCAGCTGCCCCTCCAGCTGCCCCTCCAGCTGCCCGCCTGCTGTCAGGACGGACTCCAGGGCCTGCAGCAAGTCACCCAGGCCCTGCGCCAGCACAGGGGGTGACAGCACCGACCTCATGGGCTCGCCTCACGAGCAACTGAGCCGCAGTTGACACCGTGGGCCTGCTACCTCCTACCTCCTACCTCCTACCTCCTACCTCCTACCTCCTACCGGGCGCTCAGCAGCCCCGGCGCTACCCTCCCCAGGGCCGAGATAAGGGCCGCGCCCTGAAGACTCCAGGGTCCGGGATGGGGGAAGACAGCGACGCGGCCACACCTCGTCCCAGAGCAGGGTCGGGAAGGAGAGTCAGGGGTAGCTCCCGGGACAGGGGGGAGGACCCGGGAGCCCAGCACAGGTGAAGCCTCAGAAACCACTGCTGGGGGGGGGGGCGGGAGATGCAAGCAGCTTGGGCGAGGGCAGGGGAGGGGAGGGCAGGGCCAGAGGGCCTCGCTGGGGGGTCGAGGTCCCCTCGTGGGCGACATTTTCTGCCAGGGACCGGCTCTGAGGGGCGCCAAGGGCGGGGGTGGGGGGTGGGGGTGGCCTTGGGGTCCTGTGCTCCAGCCCCCGCGTGGGGAGTGACTCAAAGACCAAATCCCAGTAAAAGAGAAAAAGACAATGGATTCTGCTGACAAAAGGACAAGCAAGCGCCAGCGCGGCGGTCGCCCGAGGCCCCCGACCCCGGCCGGTGGGAGTCAGACCAGGGCGCGGCCACGTGACCGGGACCAAGGGGGGGTGCTGAGCAGGTTGGGGGACCGTCGGGGGCAACAGGCGGGACAAGGGCCAGGGCGCTGCCGGAGGGAGGGCGGCCTGGGGCACGGCCCACCGGGCAGGACTGCGCGCGGGGTCCCGGCCACGAGGATGGCGGCGGCTTCACCCCCACCCCGGCCACACCGCGGCCGCGACCCCGGGCCCTGACCTTGACCCCAGGTCCCGACCCCGGACCCCCCACGCCCCGCCTACGGCCGCCCTGACCTCCGCCTTGGAGTTCACTTTCACAAACACGCGTCCCCTGTCCGTGTCGTAACTCTGGCCCTGGCTGATGCACCCGCCCCCCGAGTGACCCGTCGCCCTGACGAAGTCGCAGCCCAGCTCCCGCCTCAGCAGAGCCTCCATGGTGCGCGGGGAGCGGCCGCCGACCGCCGGGCCCGGGAGACGCCGCCAGCGGGGGCGCACCGTGATTGGGTGAGGCGCTGAGGGGCGGGACCGAGCCAGGACGCCCTGGGATTGGCTGAGACGCTGAGAGGCGGGACCGGCCCGCTAGAGCAGCCTGGGATTGGGCGAGGTGCCGAGGATTAAGAGGCCGGGTCTCCAAGTCGCCCTGGGATTGGATGGGGCGCTGAGAGGCGGGACCGAGCCAGGACGCCCTGGGATTGGCTGAGACGCTGAGAGGCGGGACCGACCCGCCAAAACACCCTGAGACTGGGTGAGACGTTGACAGCCAGGACGCCCTAGAATTGGCTGAGACGCTGAGGGGCCGCCAGGACGCCCCGGGATTGGGTGAGGCGCCGCAGGTGCCGGGCCGGGTCCTGGCTGTCGCACCCTGGGCCCGGGTGACAGAGCGCCCCCTTCTGGCCTCTGCCGCATCTTAAGGGAGGTTTGCTTCGGTTTTTTTTTTTGTTGTTTTTTTTTTAATTTTTATTTATTTATGATAGTCACAGAGAGAGAGAGAGAGAGAGGCAGAGACACAGGCAGAGGGAGAAGCAGGCTCCATGCACCAGGAGCCCGACGTGGGACTCGATCCCGGGTCCCCAGGATCGCGCCCTGGGCCAAAGGCAGGCGCCAAACCGCTGCGCCACCCGGGGATCCCTGCTTTGGTTTTTATGCACGTGATTCTCAACTGGCTTCCGTCTCGCGACTACACCGGTGACTTGAGCCCTTTGCTCCCGGCATGGGGTCGTCCCACGGAGGGGATGGCAGGGCAGGGACCGGGAATTGGGATATTCTGGGAGAGCGGAGGACCAGCCCAGGGCCCGAGGCAGGACCGGAGCACGGGGAGGGCGGCCGGTCCACGCCCGGGGGCGCCCGGAGAGCCCGACGATCCACATCGCGGAGAGCCTCGTGCAGGCCGCGCGGACAGCGGGACCCGGGGGTTCGCCGGGGTCACGGGGCTGTCAGCTGCGCGCCCCCTTCCGCTGCAGACGGGCACGCTAAGCATTTCAGGGGGAGGGTTGTGCGTTGATCAGCTCAATTCAATTGATGCGGATCAATTCAGTTGATGTACACGAACAATAGTATCTGTGACTCGTGCATTCAGAGTTCGCGCCCGTAATAAAACAATTAGTGGAGAGTGGGGACTGGCTGTCTCCCATTGGCTGAGCTATTGCCGCCTCCCATTGGCTGGGCTGTGGCCACCTCCCATTGGCTGGGCTGTGGCCGCCTTCCATTGGCTGAGCCACGGCTGTCTCCTATTAGCTGGGCTGTTGCCAGGGCAGCAGGCTAACCTTCCGTCCCGCACCTGGTTGCTAAAGTAGTACCACCTGCGAGGAGTCTCTCTGCATCTCCCCGTGGGTCTGTAAGTGGTAACGGTGCTGGGCACCCAGCGGCCCCTGCCGGTCGCCTGACTCCATTTTGGTGAGACTTGCCTTGATTATTTTTCACAGCTCACTATGAAAGGTTAACTAAGCAGATTCTTTTTTTTTTTTAAATTTTTATTTATTTATGAGAGAGAGAGAGAGGCAGAGACACAGGCAGAGGGAGAAGCAGGCTCCATGCACCTGGAGCCCGACGTGGGATTCGATCCGGGGTCTCCAGAATCGCGCCCTGGGCCAAAGGCAGGCGCCAAACCGCTGCGCCACCCAGGGATCCCAACTAAGCAGATTCTATAAAGAACCAAAAGAGGTTTTACAAATTAAAAACACTAATTAAGTAATTACATCACCTACATTAAAATTAAAATGTAGAGCCTACTGGGCGGATTTAACAGCTTGGATGAGAGAAGATGTCGGAAGATGTCAGAAGTCACGAAGAGCGGCGCCTGGCTGGCTGAATTGGTGAAACGTCTGCCTTCAGCTCAGGTCATGATCCCGGGGTCCTGGGGTCGAGCCTTCGTGGGGCTCCCAGCTCAGCGCGGGGTCTGCTTCTCCCTCTCCCTCTGCCCCTTGTTCGTGCCCTCTATCTAAAAGGAATAAATAAAATCTTTTTTTTTTAATTTTTAAGAAGTAATTAAGAATGTGGCACAAGGAGACAAAGAGGGAAATTGCAAGCAAGCTAGGAAACATGGAAAACAGTAGATATCTAGCTGCAGTTCCAGAAAAGGGGAAAGGAAGAGGCTACACTTGAACAGAAAATGACTGAGAATGTTCTAGAACTGACAAAATACACCAACCCTCAGATGCAAGTTCCCCCCAAATCTTAAGCTACATAGACTAAAATTTTATATGTAGGCAATAACAGTGAAATTGCAAGCCACCAAGGGCACAGGAAATCCCTAATGTACCAGCAAGGAAAGTCAGATTGCTTGAAAAGATCTAAAGTAAGTTTCCCGACGTTAATACTGGAGGCCAAAGGTAGTGGAATGATTGTCACCGAAGGAATATGACTGCCCCGGAGAAATACCTTTTCAAGAGTGAAAATGAAATAAAGACATTCTTCAGGAAGATGGTGCAGTAGGACACCCACATCAGTGTAAACAACCTAGAAAATGACCTCAAGACTGGCAGAGCAGACTCTCCACAGCTACACGGAGGGAAGAGGCCACAGAGCCGAGGGTAGGAAGAGCAGAGATGCGGTAGGCAGCCGAGCAGATGGAGGGACCGTCCTGGGCAGGGAGGGATGCAGGTGCTGGGAAGGGAGAGGGCCAGAACCTCACGCCAGTCACCCTGGGCACGGGAAGCCTGCATGGAAACCAGAGGGACATAATTGCACAAGTTCATACAGTCTGTAGGGCTTAACACTTGAAACTTTAAGACATTACTCAGACTGAAGGCCATTTGCTTTTATTTCTAGTGGTGCAATTTTCTACCAGCAGACGCTGCCAAAGGAAAGTTAAAAAAAAAAAAAGATGCTTTTCAGCCAAAAGAAAAGTAATCACAGGTTGTAAAGCTGTAACGCAAGAAGGAGCAAAGAACAAAGAGAGTTGTACATAAATGAGAAACTCTAATTAAATAGATCATACAAAATAGCAGTGAGCCATGTACGATAAAAAGAGAATTTGAAAAGCAATTGACTTTTAATTTTTTAAAGATTTTATTTATTTATTTGAGACAGAGAGAGAGAGAGAGAGAGAGAGAGAGAGAGAACAAGCAGTGGGGAAGGGACAAGCAGTCTTCCCGCTGAGCAGGGAGCCTGATGTGGGTCTTGATCTCAGGACCCTGGGATCATGACCTGAGCTGAAGACAAACACTTAACTGACTGAGAAGCCCAGGTGCCCCAAGAGGGTAGATTTAAGCCAAATATATTGACAATTACATTAAGTATAAGTGAACAAAATAACCCAGTTGAGAAACTAAAAATATGACACTTGAAAAAAGTAAAACACAACTGGTTATATGTTCTGTGTAAGAGTGAAAAGTAAATGGGCAGCCCAGGTGGCTCAGCGGTTTAGCGCTGCTTTCAGCCCAGGGCATGATCCTGGAGACCCAGGACTGAGTCCCACATCGGGCTCCCTGCATGGAGCCTGCTTCTCTCTCTGCCTTTCTCTCTCTCTATGTCTCTCGTGAATAAATAAATAAAATCTTTTTAAAAATTTTAAAAAGAGTCAAACCACCACCTGGCTGGTTCAGTTGGAGGAGCACCTGACCCTTGATCTCAGGATCATAAGTTCAAGCCCCACATTGGTTGTAGAGATTACTAAAAATAATGATAATAAACTTATTAAAAACAAGAAAAGTCAGATGAAGTACCATACTAGGTAAGCGAAAGTTATAAATATAACTACATTGATATCAGACACATAGATTTTAAGGCAAGCACAGCTCCACATCACACAGTTCCAGGGGTGTCAGCTTCATGGACCATGATATAAACTCCCTGCAGGGGTGCAACTCGCTGGACTGGGAAAATGCATTATTAGTGACAAAGGTGGTCATTTCATAATGATGGAAGGTTTAACACAGAGAAGGAAAAACATTTTTTTAAAGATTTATTTATTTATTTAGAGAGAGCGAGAGAGAGGCAGAGACACAGGCAGAGGGAGAAACAGGCTCCATGCAGGAAGCCCAACACAGGACTCGATCCTGGGTCTCCAGGATCACACCCCGGGCTGCAGGTGGCGCCAAACCGCTGTGCCACCGGGGCTGCCCAGAAAAACATTTTAAGGGATCCCTGGGTGGCGCAGCGGTTTGGCGCCTGCCTTTGGCCCAGGGCACAATCCTGGAGACCCAGGATCAAATCCCATGTCGGGCTCCCGGTGCATGGAGCCTGCTTCTCCCTCTGCCTATGTCTCTGCCTCTCTCTCTCTCTCTGTGACTATCATAAATAAATAAAAATTTAAAAAAAAGATTAAAAAAAAAAAAGAAAAACATTTTAAATACGGATATAGCCTCACCCTGTGAGCTGGGCAGCGCACAATCTGCATAACAATGTTTGGTGCCTCTCCCTAAAATGAAAGACAAAACTATAACTCTTTCAGGAAAAAAGAAAAAAAAAAAACTAAGAGAAGGATGTCTTAAGCAAGACACAAAGCCTTAGCCATAAACTACATCAAAGTCATTAGAATGAAGACTATTTTCTCACCAAAAGATAAGAGAATGAAAACACAAACCACAAAGTAGGAAAGGGTACTTTCAATACACATACTCACAAAGAATTAGAATCTCTATTTTTTAATCCCTAAAATGTAAAAACCTTCTACGGGGATGCCTGGGTGTCTCAGGATAAACCCAATAGAAATTCCTGGATATGGGGTGCCTGGGTAGTTCAGCAGTAGAGTATCTGCCTTCAGCTTACGGTGTGACCCTGGGGTCCTGGGGATCCAGTCCCATGTCGGGCTCCCCGCAGGGAGCCTGCTTCTCCCTCTGCCTGTGTCTCTGCCTCTCTCATGAATAAACAAATAAAATCTTTTTTTTTTAATTTTTTAATTTATTTATTTATGATAGTCACAGAAAGAGAGAGAGAGGCGCAGAGACAGAGGCAGAGGGAGAAGCAGGCTCCATGCAGGGAGCCCGACGTGGGATTCGATCCCGGATCTCCAGGATCGCGCCCTGGGCCAAAGGCAGGCGCCAAACCGCTGCGCCACCCAGGGATCCCTAAAATCTTTTTTTTTTTTTTTTAAAGAAAGAAATTCCTGGATATGTGCACCAAAAGGATGTTTAGAGTAGAATGACTTATAATAGCGCAAAACATAAATCGCCTGGGGTGAACACATCTACAAGGACCCTCGGGAGTCATGACCTGTTTACTCCCCTCCCCTGAGCGCAGACAGAGCCTGTGACGTGCTTCTGACCAGGGGAATATGGCTAAGGTCGTGGGATGTCACTCTTGTGATCACGTTATATTATGTGACTCTGTATGAGCAGACCCGAGCGAGAGATTTTCCTGGTGTCCTTGCAGAAGGAAAAGGCTGGGTCTGAAATGTGGAGCAGGCACCTAGCTTCTGGGACGTGAACGTGGGTCCAGTCAGCAGTTGGTAAAAGGCCGGGGGTCCCGGGCTGACAGCCAGAAGAGAACAAATTCTGAAGCCAACAGTGTCCTGGGAAGCAGATTCTTCCCATCGAGCCTCCAGGTGAGAATCCAGCTCTCCCAACACTTGGCAGGTGTGCAAATCCCCGAGCAGGAGACCCGGTCACGCCGTGAGCCGTGGAAACCGTGACGTAGGTGGGCATGGCTTACCCTGCTAGATCTCTAGGCACGTTCATGTTGATCTCATTAACCGAAGAAGGGATGAATAAAATTCAGTTTGTTCATCAACGGAATACAACCCAGCAATAACCTACAAAACCTGCAGTTGTATTCGGCAGCTGCACACGCCCTTTACCAAAAAGGAAAAACATGAAATAACAGACACAGATTCCATTTTTTATAAAGTCACAACTCTGTAATTTAGGAATTCACATCTGGGTGGTAAGATAAAGTGAAGCCAGCCAGGGGTCCTACCCGGTTTCCAGCGCTGCCGTTTAGCAGTGCCCTGCACCGGGTTAACAACAAAGTTAGTTTCGTCCAGTTCTGAGCCAGAAGCCTGAGGTCGAGCTGTCGTCGGGGTTGGCTCCTGGTGGGCCTGGCCTCGGGGCTCGCGGACCCCCCTGTGTGACCCGCGTACTGCGCACCTGTCACCTGCCAAGCGCTGTGGCCTCTCTGGCCCGGGCTGCCCCCGGGGGGCCACCCCTGGGGTGACTGCCCCCTGGGTGACCGCATTGCCCACCGGAAGCCCAGCTCCAAAGGCGGCACAGGGCGGATTAGGCTGGGACCGTGGATGGGGAGCGGTGGACACAGTTCCCAGAGGTGGTGGCGGAGCCAGATGCCGTTGGTGCCTTGACTGTGACCTCAGCCGCCACGGACCCCCGCGGCCAGCCTGAGCTTCTCCAGCTCCTGGGACCCTGAGGGGTCCCCCCGGGGGGGTGCACTCCCGTCACCTCCCCACCCTGTGGGGCTCCCCGGGTCATGCCCGGGTAAGGGCCTTACACCTGCTTCTGGGGGAGGCCACCCCAGGGCAGTGGTTGGCCACGTAGTAGGGACGCTGTCGCACTGGGGAGGCGCCTGGACGTGTTGCATTTCCTGACCTGGGGTGAGTTATAACCTGACTGTTCACTTTAGGGTTATTGTTTTTTTTAGGACTGTATTTATTTATCTGAGAGGAAGAGAGCGCAATAGAGACAGCGAGAGCAAAGCAGGCTCCCAGCTGAGCAGGACCTGGTGGGGGGCTCTCGTGGGTCGGGAGGGCGGGCGGGGGGTGGGGAGCAGGGCTGCCCGCGGGGGGCGGGGTTTGAGAGCGGGCGGGGCACTGGGCGGGGTCTGGGAGGAGGGGGTGGGGCAGTGGGCGGGCGGAATAGGAACGGGGCCCGGGCGGGGTTTGGGGGTGGGCGGGGCAGTGGGCGGAGTCTGGGTCGCGGGTGGGCGGGGTCTGGGAGGAGGGGGTGGGCACTGGGCGGGGTCTGAACGGGATCCGTGGGCGGGGTTTGGCGGCGGGTGGGGCAGTGGGCGGGGTCTGGGGAGAGGGGTGGGGCAATGAGGGGCGGAGTCTGAACGGGGCTTATGGGCGGGGTTTGGAGGTGGGCGGGGCAGTGGGCGGGGTCTGGGAGGAGGGTGGGGCGGTGAGCGGGCGGAGTCTGAACGGGGCCTGTGGGCGGGGTTTGGAGGTGGGCGGGGTCTCGGCGGAGCAAATGCACCTGGACACCTGCATCAAATGGATGGATTCTGTCGAGCGACTCTTGCACTTTCTGGAGCATCCATGAGGTTACGGTTTTGCCTAAAATAGGTTTTCTTTCTATGGCGGAAGAACAACTGGCACCTTGGCTGTGAATTCTTGGTGAGTCACCAGCAAGCACGCAGTCGGTGTGAAGCTCTGCTCAGCTGCTGGTTGCTATTTACTTCTTGTCAGCAGGGGAGAGAAATGAGAAGAGTTAATTGGTGTGTGCAAGTGCCTGGCTCTGGAGAAAATACGGTCAGTCCCTTTTTAGGTCCTCGGTCTATTTTTACCTAAGCATCAGAGAAAGAAACCTAAGAAACGCGTTTCCATTGTCAAGTGGGATAAAAATATGTAGAGATTCTGCATCTCATCCAGAGATGGCAGGTATCCGTTCTCTCCTCCACCTCCCGTCGTAAGGCCCCTGGATGGAGCTCTGCGCAGTGTGACGCGGCCGCCCACTGTGTGGGACGAGCTCTGTGCTGCAGACACAGGACAGGTGCATGGCCGGCCCACGATTAAACAGTCCCCACAGGACCCTGTGACTCCAGGCCGACACCAGAGACAGAAAAGCTTATACATCCACGCAGAAACCTGTACACATATGTTCAAAGCAACTCCATTCTCAGAGCCAAAGCGTGGAAACAACCCAAATGTCCATCCACAGATTAATAAGCAAAATGTGGTCCCTCCACACAATGGAGTATTGTTCAGCTTTAAAAAGGAAGGAAATTCTGACACCTGCCGCAACGTGGGTGAACAGTGCAGACATGCGCAGGGAAATAACCCAGTCACAAAAGGATGAATATTGCCTGATTCTTTTTATACGAGGTTCCTGGAGCCGTCACATTCCTAGAAAGTAGAATGGTGGTTTCCAGGGGCTGGAGCGGCGGGTGGGGAGTTCGTGTAGAATGGGGACAAGGTTTCAGCTTGAGGAAGATGAAAACGCTCTGCAGAGGGATGGTGGTGTTGGTTGCACAACAGTGCAACTGTGCTTAATGCCACTGAGCTGCACACTCAAACATGGGTAAAATGGTAAATTGTTATATATATTTTACCAGAATTTAAAAATCAAAAGAAAGTAAAACTGGGGCTGTGTTGCTGTACCGACCAGCTCCAATGTTGGGAGCTGTGGTCAGGGCCTCTGGTCGTCCTGGTTTCTCTGGGCCCTCCTTTCCTCAGTGCAGGAGGGATCACAAGCCCACCCCCCAGGGTTGCCATGAGAGGGTCAGCACAGACGTCCTGGGGCTCTCACCACAGGCCTGGAGTACTGTACACCCCTGCCCCTAGCCCCAAGGACAGTGTGGGAAGATTCTCCTCCCCCTTCCCCGGGGTCACACGTGACCTGCCCTTACCACCTAATGCCACCGTCAGCCAAGAGGTGTTCACAGGCACTGCTGGGAGCGACCTGTTTTCATCTCAAGGTGAGGAATGGCGATGTGCAATTCTGGAGACGTTCTATTTTTTTTTATTTTTTATTTTTTTTTTTCTGGAGACGTTTTTAGTGGTTACAGCTGGGAGAGGAGTGCCCTGGTATCTAACGGACAGGGGTCAGGGATGCTGCTCTGTCCAGCAATGCAGAACAACCACCACAAAGAACAATCCAGACCCCTGGGGCTGGTTCAAACATCCCACACTGGACCTCGAGACTGTCCGAGGGCCCCGGGAAAGGCCGACTGAGGGATTGGTGAGCACAAACCTCCCAGCCCTGGCTCTCAGCGGGCAAAGCTCCTCACCCCAGAGCTCATTCCTGCTCGGGGTAGGCCTGCCCCGGTCCCCACCATGATGCCTGCTGTGGACTGAATATGCTCCCATCCATATATTGAACCCCTAAATCCCAGTGTGATAATACCTGGAGATGTGGCCTTTGGAAGGTAATTAGAGCCCCGAGGTCGTCTGCCGGGGACCTTGATTATGCATATTCAGAGGACATTCTAAGATGGACACAGGGCTGCCAAGGATGTGGAGATCTTCCCCGTGGGGTGCTGCCAGAGGCTCTGCTACAGGACCCGTCTATTGGTCCAGAAGGGGGCATGGATTCCCATCAGGGTGATCCCCGCAGGGAATCTGGGGATTGGATCTGAGAGCAAAGCGGACCAATCTCAGTCCAGCGCCCATGACTCCCTAGATGCGGGGAGAAGTCTGAGGCCTGGAGGGTCCCCACCTTGCGGGTCCCTCAGCTCCCCCACAAACACGCGCACAGGCTCACGTGCGCACACCCATGCACAAGCAGGGCGCAGCGATGCACAAACACGAACACGTGCACACGTGCACAGGCGCACGCACACACACGGGCACTCGCGCCCACGCGCTCGGGGACAAAGACGAGGCCCCGGGAAGTCCTGGGGGACACCGCGGGCCCAGGCCCACGCGGGACAGGGACCCCGGACGCCGGGCGACCTGGTCCTGGCCTCCCGGCTGCACGTCCGCCAACCCAACCGGCCCCGCCAAGTCTGCAGGTGGCCGCGCCTGGAGGGCGCGCGCGGCAGCCCGGCGGCCAGGCCCCGCCCCGGCCCCGCCCACCTCCGGACCTCATTGGCTGGGGCCGTCACAGCCGGCGTCTCGCCCCGCCCCGCTTCGCCCCGGCCCCGCCCCCGGCCGGCAGAGGCGGTGAAGACCAGAGCCTCCCGGGAAGGGCGGAGACGAGGGGAGATGGACGGGCAGCGCAGCCAATGAGCTTGCGCAGCCGCCCTAGCAACTGCGGCTGGCCAATGGCGGGGCGGGCGGGGCGGGCGGGGCGGGGCTCCGGGCTGTCAGCGGCGGACGGCGGGGCCGCGGGGCCTCGGTGCCTCCCGCGGGCCGGGCATGGGCGCAGGCGGCGGCGGCCGCACGATGAACGCCCTGGGCAGCCCGGTCCGCGCCTACGACTTCCTGCTCAAGTTCTTGCTGGTGGGCGACAGCGACGTGGGCAAAGGCGAGATCCTGGCGAGCCTGCAGGATGGCGCGGCCGAGTCCCCCTACGGCCACCCGGCGGGTGAGCGCGGGGCCGGGACCCGGGAGCAGAGCCCGGGGGGATCGCGGTGGGGGGGGCGGGGAGCTCGCGATGGGGGACCGGGAGCGCACGGGGCGGGAGGGCACGTGGGGGGCCGGGAGGGAGGGGTCCGGGAGCGCACCGGGGGGCGAGAGGGCCGGGAGCGCACGGCCGGGGGGCCGGGAGGGAGGGGGTCCGGGAGCGCACGGGGGGGGGGGCCGGGAGCGCACGGAGGGGGGCGAGAGGGGCCGGGAGTGCACGGAGGGGGGGCCGGGAGGGAGGGGGGCCGGCAGCGCACGGGGGGGGGGGGCGAGAGGGTCCGGGAGCGCACCGGGGGGCGAGGGGGCCGGGAGGGAGGGGTCCGGGAGCGCACGGGGGGGCGAGGGGGGCCGGGAGCGCACGGAGGGGGGCCGGGAGCGCACGGGGTGGGGCGAGGGGGGCCGGGAGCTCGCGGTGGGGTTGCCGGGAGCGCACGGGGGGGACCGGGAGCGCACGGGGGGGGGGGGCTGGGGTCCTGGCGGCGGGCTGGGAGGGGCTGGGAGGGGCTGGGAGGGGCCGGGCGGGGCCGGGCGGGGAGCCCGCGGGGCCCAGAGAGCGCGCGGGGGGCCGGGGGGCGTGGAGCCGCGGAGCGCAAGGGGCCGGGGCAGCGCGCGGCGGGCGCGGGGAGCCGGGCCGGGCACGGGGGAGCGCGCCGAGGAGCTGGGGGCGCAGCGGCGGGGGGAGGCCCTCGCGCAGGGGCGCAGAGCCAGGCGGTGGAGCGCGCGAAGGGCCGGGATCCAGGCGCGCGGGGCTCTCGGCCCTCGGCCTGAGTCGGGCGCGCGCTCCGCAGGAGGCCGGGCTGCACCCCAGGTCCGCGCGTGGGGAGCGCGGCACGTCGGTCTACCGTCTCCCCAAGGTCCGCTTCCCCGCGCAGCCAGCGGCCGGGCAGGGCTCTGGGGTACCTCGCCCCGGCGGAGGCGGGCGGACCACGCAGGTGGGCTTTGGGGAGGAGGTAGCGGGGCTGCTGCGTGCGCCCCGCCGGGAGGCCGCGAGCCCGTTTGCAGAGGATGCGTGGGGGTAACGGAGCCGGCGGGAGGGGACGGGGCCGAGGCTCCCAGGTGGAGGCTCTGCGCGTGGGAGGGATGGAAGCCCAGGGGAGAGGAAGCAAGAGAACTAACCAGCCTGGAGAGGCTCCTCCTCTGCAAACAGGCCCCGGAGGGCAAGAAGCCCAAATGACCCTGGGGAATGCGGCCTGAGGGCGGGAAGGGAAGCACCACGGAAAGGGAAGGAGTGAGGGTTCAGGCGGAGGAGAAGCCACGGGGCTCAGGGAGGACAGGGGGCGCAGGATCCTCAAAGCTGGGGTCTGGGGGTCTGAGGGTCAGAGGCCCCAAGGCGGTGTGCGGCTTAGGAGGGAGAGACGGCGAGGGGAGGCCGGTGAGGTGGGCATCCAGCTGGACCAGCGGGCAGGGGCCGAGTCAGGTCTTCACCCGGGCAGGCCGCTGTGACGGTGTGGGTGGCTGCAGAGGGCACCTGCCTTCCATCACCTGTCAGCCCTTGTGTCAGAGGCTCCAGGCGCACCTCCAACATGGGTCTTGCACCCTCTGTCTCCTGGGCTTGCAGTCGGGGTCTCCAGGAGCAGAGGAGGGCGGCCCAGCAAGGGGTCTGTTGATGTTCAAGCCAGGAGGTGTGCTTCCTGCCCTGACCAGGGTAGAATTGAGGCGACGGTCCAGAGGAGGACGTCCTGGGTCCAGAGGACCTCAGCAGCAAATGAACTTGAGTTGAGGCAAGAGGGGCAGGGGTGCAGGGCAAAGCTTGCGTGGTGAGGGACATGAAGGGAAACAGTGGTCAGCAGAGCTGGCAGAGAGGGGAGCCTGGGGCTTCTGAGCAGGGAGGAGAGGCTCGGGTGGAATGGCCTGGGGCGGGCCTGTGGGATTGGAGGTGTTGGGCCGGGGAGAAAGTTGGGATGAGGTTGGGAAGGTTCTGGAGAACCGATGCCAAGAACCTGGACTATTCCTGAGGCTGAGGGTGTGAGAGTCAACCTGGGCACTTGTGAAAATACAGATTCCGTCTCTAATTCCAGATCTGTGTCATCCAAGGTGGTGCCATCAGCCACATGTGATTTTTAAATTTAAAGTAGGGGGATCCCTGGGTGGCTCAGCGGTTTGGCGCCTGCCTTTGGCCCAGGGCGCGATCCTGGAGTCCTGGGATCGAGTCCCGCGTCGGGCTCCCGGTGCATGGAGCCTGCTTCTCCCTCCTCCTGTGTCTCTGCCTCTCTCTCTCTCTGTGTGTCTATCATAAATAAATCTTAAAAAAAAAATAAAGTAGTTACAATGAAACACAAGTAAAGGTTCCTATGAATCGCGGGTCAAGTGCTCAACAGCGGCCCCTGGCCTGTGACCGTGTGGCAGGGCCCTGCTGGCCAGGAGGGCAGCGGGTTGTGTCTGCAGTTTCCTCCGCAGGGCCTGGGGCTCAGTGGGTGCAGGAGCTCGTAGAGGTGAAGGAAGACACATCGGGCACATAGAGCTCGGCGCTCCTAAAACTGCGTGGCTGGGGGCACGAGCCCTAGTGGGTGAGCGATGTGGGCCGGTGGGAGGAGTGTGGACAGAGTGGGTGTCCTGGTGGTTTGAACAGAGCTTGGGTGGCTCTGCTGCATTACCTTCTTTCTTGTTATTTGCAGACTGAGCGTTTGTAAAAGCAACGAATTAGCACTTTCCCCCAAAGGTCTTTCTTCCACCCTGAGGGAGGACTTAGGTTAAAAAAGACACTTTCCAGGAAATTTTAAGAAGTTGGAATCTTTCCCAGTATTATTATTATTATTATTATGGACACGTTCTACTTTGCATCAGTGCTGAGGGCTTGGGGAGGGGGAGGACGTTTGCACCCTGCGCTTCCATCCCCCGCCCGCCCCCGCCCACCCCCATGGCTCTCACTCCCCCTGGTCCCATTCTGGGCCTACCTGCCGCAGGCCCTGGGCATCAGGTGTTTCGGGGGCTTCCGAGCGAGCGATAGGAATCCTTTCCCGCCGCGGGGTCTGGGACCTCTGCGTTTTGCTCTCCCTCTAATTAGCTACATTTCATTTCCAGCCATTTTCCAGGAAAGGGGCGTATTTCCTGAGCATTGTCATGTTTGAGGAGATCCGTCTGCTGTGTTGGTCCGTGGAGAGTATGCGGGTGGGGTCAGAGGGTGGAAGGTGTCCTCAGGCCACCGTGTCTGTCCTTCGCTGTCTTTCCCCACCCTCGGCCCCAGGTGAGCCGCAGCGGCGAGGTCAGCGTGTGTCAGCGGCGGACGCTGGGTGTTGGGCCTCTGGCACGCTGTGCACTCTCTGAATTTGCGGATTTCATATTTAACTCCAGGGAAGTGGACTTTGTGGCCCTAAAACACTGTTACATTGACTGGTGTTCGTGCTTCAGGTCTCTTAAGGCTGCTGAATGGCCCCCACACAGATTTACTATCTGAGTGTCCCTGGCCTGGGGCTGTGTCCTTCCTGGAGGTGCCAGCCGTGAGTCTGCTTGCTTGCCCAGCTTCTAGAACCTTCCTGCACTCCCCGGCTCTGGGCCCCTTCCCACTGCTGCAGCGGCAGTGTGTGCCCGCGCTGTACCATCCAACCTGCCTCGGTCTCCCTCCTCTGCTGTTAGGCGCCCTCGTGACAGTGCAGGACGACCTCCGTGGGTGACGGTCACCGGGTCAGCACACATGGTTCCTCCTTGGCCGTGTAGCCCCGGGGACCCGCGGCTTGTGAGGGTCACAGCGTGGGTACCCCCCGGGCGGTGAGGCCACCTGCTCCACCCGCTACCCTCCGGCTGGGTTTCAGTCGCGTTCCACATGCCTCCGCTTCCCTCTGAGGCCCGGACCTTCTGCCTCTCCCTTCTGGATCTCTGTGGGCATCTCAAGCCTTTCCTATTGGTTGGTAACTTTCACTTTAGTAAACTGTTTCTAGACGTTTCTAACTTTTTTTTTTATTAGTTTAGTGGTGCGGTCGTTTCGGTCTGCAGTTTTTTTTCCTTACTTGCACAATTTTCATTTAAATTTTTTGGGCAGCCCGGGTGGCTCAGTGGTTTAGCGCCGCCTTCAGCCCGGGGCGTGACCTCAGGGTTCCGGGATCGAGTCCCGCTTCGGGCTCCCCACAGGGAGCCTGCTTCTCCCTCTGCCTGTGACTCTGCCTCTCTCCCTGTGTCTCTCATGAATAAATAAATAAAATCTTTAAATAAATTGTTTTTATTTAAATGATTAATTTCATTTAAAAATCTCTTATTTTACCGGCTTACGGTTTCTGCTGCATTGTTCCACCGCATGAAGTAATCGGGGTGACTGTCCTTTGTTCCTTGGGTCCGTCTCCTTCTACGCTGGGCCCTCCGGGTCTGTCTTTCCTGTGAAGACCTGCTGCAGTGTGGTACCCCCAGAGTAGCCGAGGCCCGAGCCCCTGCGCGGGGGCCCGCAGGATGGGTGCCCGGCCAGCGCCTTCTCTGGGTGGAGGTGCTGGGGGAGAGGCCTGCACGGCCCAGCCCCGTGGGGACAGTGAAGTCACCGTGAGGTCGCGGCCCCACCGGGCTGGTCTCACGGGCAGTGAGGCCCCTGGGCTCCAGCCGGCCCTGCTTCCAGCACCGCGTTGCCTTCCCTTCTCTGACTGCCGAGTCTCTACGTTGGGAGAAGGAAGGAGCTGGAACGGACAGTAAATTCTACACCCTCTTTCCTCCCAGCCTTTTTCCCATGGAAACTGGGTGTTTTCTGACGACTTTCTCCCGCCGCTCCGCCAGCTTCCTTCTGCCAGCAGGAAAATCCCATCTTTCTGTCTCTGTTCGGTTCCTGCTAACAGCTAATAATACTGCCGCGCGCCCTCCCCTGGCCCAGACGGGACAGGGATCATCCCGAGGTAGGTCACGGCGTTAGGCCCCGAGAGGGCGAGTCACGGGCCCAGATCGCACAGCGCCGTGAGCGCGGGCGGTGGCTGCTGAGGCTGGGCCCTGTGGTTCAGAAGCGGCCCAGAGAAGTGGCTTCTCTCCCGTGAGGACCGCGGCTGCTTTCAC